CTCAGCCTCCCGAGTAGCTGGGACTACAGGCGCCCGCCACTTCGCCCGGCTAGTTTTTTTTTTGTATTTTTTAGTAGAAATGGGGTTTCACTGTGTTAGCCAGGATGGTCTCGATTTCCTGACCTCGTGATCTGCTCGTCTCGGCCTCCCAAAGTGCTGAGATTATAGGCTTGAGGCACCGCGCCCGACCCTGAAATCCTCTTTATTACCCTAAACCCTCTTCCTCAGAAAAGATTGCCCTGAAATTCTTCTGTTGAAGAGCATATTTAGTAACATCAAAAGTAATGTATTCTCTTGTCCACTTACTATTTTTCTAAATGCCATAGGCATTTTTTACAGTAAAGACCGTTGAAACCCAGTATATTTATGCCAGTTCTCCTTTATTTCAGATTACTCTCTTTATCTGTTCTTTCATTGTTGAGCATGCTTTTCCTTTTCATAGACTGAATTTTTTCTTGTTCAACATACATAGTATGTAGTTATTTATATAATTTATATATGTATAAATGATTAAAAAGTGAATCTAGAAACAAACATTTTGATAACAAATCATATCAGGTTTAGTCTTTTCTGATTCTAAAGGAGGCATGTTGATATCCACAGTTGCTTTTTTAACTTGTGACTGGATATACAAGTTTGTAATTATATTTCCATCTGATGTGACACTTATATGGATCTCTCTTGAGTGCACACTGCCACGTGGCTGGATGGGTGATGATATCCACATTGGTCTTTCTTCTGTAAAATAGTATCCACTATTCAAAACAGGCCATATCCAAATGAAAATACGTTCTTTTCATTTAAAATAAGCCTGTGAGGTGATTTTGGAAAGTATAAATTATCTCAATTTTTGCTTCTCAAATTCTATGCAATACATTCCTCAGCTTTTCAGTGTCATTGAGATGACACATTTGGTATTTAGGAATATTAGTGTCTTAAAGGAAGCATAGGTATGTATTATATCTTGTCTCTTAAGGCAGTTCATATATTTATGCCTGTGTAACTTCCATTATGGTTATACAAAATTTAAAATGTAGGAAAAGATGAATTAAATTGAATGCTATGTTATATATACACAGAATTTTTGGCAAGTAAAGATAATTCCAAGTAATCTTTAATGTGTAATTCATTTTTTCCATTAATCAGACTTCTCATGTATTAGATTTATTCAAAGTAGAGTATCTATATATTTTTAATTTACTTTGTACACATTATATGTGTACTTTGTACACATAATAACATTTTTCATATTTTTTTCTTTTTCTCCCTTTCATATTCCTTCCTTCCCCACCCTCCCTCTCTTCCTTCATTTCTTTCTTCCCAAAGAAAATCCAGAAAATCCAATCCTTAAATCAACTGCTTGATGAAGGAGGCAAAACAAAGGCAGCAGAAGATAATGTGATTGGTGCACAAAAGCTAAAGCAATGGCTGGGGCTTTGTTTTTAGGTTTTGGGGTTTTTTTTGTTGTTGTTAATGAGTGGAAAGAGAGACATAATGACAGCTGATGTTAAACTTTCCATATTTCAAATTAGATTCCCTAGGAGGTATAATATATATTTCTTGAGTAATAATGTGGTTGCAGAATTCCAGTGTTATAGTGAAGTGTAATGAAAAACATCTCTAGGTATGTGCTTTAACCACTGCTGTAAAAGAGACAAGTCTGCATTTATTTGTGCAGGAAACCAGCTATTTAATTGTTCTAAAGTTTTAGCATTTAAAAATCGTATGAAAGTCTACATCAGCTGAAATCGTCCTAGCTTCATAATCACTTGGAGGGGGACTTGGAAGGTAAGAAAGATACTGCATTTTCTCATGACTCTCCAAGCCCACTTGAAAAGTCACACTGAAAGGATGCAAATAGCCGTCTGCGATTTTGGCAGCCCTCCGGATTGTGGTGTCAATATGTTGTACCCGGACATTCCCAAATTTAAATTTGGCAATGAAAATTCCACAAAGATTTCTGATAACTTTGAGCTATAAATACCTTAAAAATAATAGATTGATGATTTTCTTTATTTCCTAGAGAATTTATTTTATAAATACTTTGTTTACATTTTAGATTGTATTTGTCCTTATTTAATTTAAAATGATGAATCTAGTCTGAATCAGCTGTTATTCCAAGCTATCATGCTTAAGCTATGTCAACAGCATTTATTTGTACTAATGCTAATATTTCCATCAAAATTTGCCTGTGGAATATATACAGTTCTTAATTTTAAACTGTCAGTTCTTGAGATATACTGTATGAAGCTATTGTCAGCTTCTCTATTTCAAAATGCAATCAGCATATAACTATATTGATATTAGAAAATATTTGTTTTTTAAAATGTATCGATGTATGATAAAGATGATCTAATTTGTGAATGCATATGTGTGTGTGGTTCCTTTTTATAATGTGAAATAATGAATAATGAATTTACTCAAAATAAAACATAGGTTAATGAGATATATGTGTTTGTGAAAAAAGTTTTAAATACTCTCCTGCAGTTTTTATTCTATAATTAAAGAGTAAGATAGTTCAGTTTTAGGTAGTGAAAAAAAGAAATATACCAGTGTCAACTATAAGAGCATAGTTACTCAGTGTGAGACCTTTTCATGCCATTTGTTTTCCTTTTTCCATCCATATGGCTTCTTTTTTGGCTATTTTTAGTGATTCTTCGTAATATCCTTTGCCAAAGGACAACCAGGTAAATGGAATTGTTACTACTCGTTTTGTCAGTAGTTAAAATTCACTAGGTATGAGAAATTTGACAGTACTGGTTAAAGTAATCAGTACACTCGCTGTGGATTTCATTTAACTGTTTTCATCATGTCTCCTACTAGCACCAATAATGTGGAACTGAATATGTTAAGATCTGGAGAATTTGGTACAGAATGAGACATCAAAATTGCATCAGTTTTTTTGGTGCTTTGATTCATAGCATTCTATTAATTTAATAAAATGGAGAATTTCAATTTATTTGTTATAATAAATTTAGCAGAATTATAAGCTTTTACTTTCCCATGATGCAAATGGGAGAAGGGAAACTGATTTGACAGAGAAAAACTACTGCTTATAAAGTTCAGGAATGTAGAGCAGTCAATTGCAATCTTAGTCCTAGGTATTAAATTATCAAACCGTTAATCAAAATTACTTTTGGAAGTTTTTAACAGAACATGACATTTCCTAAAATCTTTGAAATATTTGTTAAAATTATGTTTCCAAGGACAGATATGTAGAAACAGGATAAAAAGCAAATTAGTGACAGTTATGAATATCTACATGTATCTCCATTTATATCAAAAACAAGATGGATACTTTTGTGAAAACTCTCAGTTTAACAGCTTATCAAATTAATCCTTTAAACTAGTTGTATGGCAAAGAAAAATCTCCCTCCATCTGTAGCTGTAGGGAAAAGGGACATCTTCATCATCATTTTGTTAATTACTAAAACTTGCATTTTAAGAATAAGTCCAAGAATTTCACTAGTTAGCCTTACAGCTAACTGTAGAGCTCACTGTTACTGCAGAAATGGAGCTAGGTCTATAAAGGATTTACCTTATAGAGGTTAAATAAGGAGCACATGAAATTTTTCTTTATAACCTCATACACATTTTAAAAAATCATTTCTATTATTTGACTTCCTGAGCTTGAATATCTTAGTCTGGAGATGAGTCAGTTTTGCCATACAATTAGTGGATATATGAGAAATCTTTGAATTGAAATGAAACAGGCTCTTCAACTGGAGTAGAAGTTTTACAATGAGGATAAAATGAATTAGATTAAGTCAGTAACCTGTTCTCAGTTGTTACAGCATGTATGTGTGAGAATGTGTGGTTGAGTGTGTCTGTGTAGGAACAATTTTTAAGACTCGACACTTGGCCAGGTGTGGTGTCTCACACCTGTAATCCCAGCTTTGGGAGGCTGAGGTGGGTGGATCACAAGGTCAGGAGATCAAGACAATCCTGGTTAACATGGTGAAACCCTGTCTCTACTTAAAATACAAAAAATTAGCCGGGTGTGGTGGTAGATGCCTGTAGTCCCAGCTACTTGGGAGGCTGAGGCAGGAGAATGGCATGAACCTGGGAGGCAGAGGTTGCAGTGAGCCGAGATCGTGCCATTGCACTCCAGCCTGGGCGACAGAGCAAGACTCCGTCTCAAAAACAAAACAAAACAAAAAAACTCAACACTTACATATAGTGAAGACTTGTACAATGTTAAGATTTTCCCCGCTCAGCTGGAAACCCCGAATTTGTGTGTGTGTGTATTTGTGTGAGGTAAATTACATTTTTTATTGGTCTGCATTTTTCTGTCATGCCTGTGTACTCGGGAAATCTGAAACTGAGTGTCTTAGGAACTTCTTAAAGCAAATATGGGGGAACATTAAAAAGTATATTTAAAACATAGAATAGGTCCATTTTCTACCTTAAAGAGTAGTGTGTTAAATACAATGATTATGCTGTTGTTGCTTTGCAGTGTATATGGTGGGAAGAAGGCAGGAGTTTGTTATCTGCATGCTGTATGAATCCTTCAGTAATAATGTACCTTTTTATAACTGGGTTTGGCCATATTGATTTCAGTGAGTATTGTGCTCTCACAGACTTAATTTTCCAGATTTCATCTCTTAAAAGTGGGAAATTTGACTGGATTCTACTTTATTCCTCTACTATTTTTCCACAAACAAATCTGACTAATTGAACACAAACAGGGTGACTTAAGAATGTCAGTTAGAGTTAGTCCTCTGTCTTTGGCCCTCCAGGGCCTAGAATTGCCTGTCCCTTCATAAGTGTCAATTAGTGCTGTTGGAATGAATACAGGAATGAATTTTATTTTATTAATATGCAGTCTAAGTACTGACTTTTCATCATTCCAAAACCTGGAATTCCAAAACCTGGAATGATGAAAAGACTGTATTTAGGCTGCATATTAATATTATTACCTATTCACATTACTCTGGATTATATTAAATAATAAATGAATTTTAGATTTTTTTAAACATTAGATAGCAGACAGACAGAAATCCAATTAGGCATTTAATTAACATAGTTGACACTGTAAGTTAGCTCTATTCAGGATTCTCTGAATATGGTCTTTTCTGTTTCTGTGACAGAAAATGACTGCCTAAGGAAGATCAGGGATATTTACAATTTCCCTTTTCACCCTGGGACAAAGTTTGTGCTTATATTCTGTTTAACCCCCATGAGTAGCTATAGTTCATGCTGTTTACCTGGTCCCCATCAGATGTTTTAGATGGAAGGAAGGAAGAGTAAAAAGGGCTTGGGGACTAGACTCAGGAAAGGTAGGCCTCTGACTCTGCCATTCTCACACTGGAAGACCTTGGACAAGTGTTTTCTTCCCACTGGTATATAAGGTATGACTTATCCACTAGATGCAGAAGACACAGTGCCTAAGGCTGACAGTACTGTAAGGGCCCACGAAGGTGTTTTACTTATCGCCATATGCTAGACAAATAACTTTGAAACCAGATACGCAATTTCAAAAGACGAATATATTCATCTTTCTACCAATGCAGCCATAAAACATACATATCTTCATGAAGGAAAGGAGTCTACGAGGTTAAAAGTGCCTAGGGCCCATGAAAGTAAGAATGTGGACCTGTTTCTGGGTCCCTCTTTCTTTCTTTTGTAAAATGAAGGTATTGAACTAGATGATCTGTGGTTCAGCCAATGCCTCTGCCATGCGATTTGATGCACCATGGAAGTAGATGCTGTGATCAGGACTGATTAGAGCTATTTTTCTTCTGATGTCATCAGCAATAAATGACTCCATAATAGATTAAAATAAAACACTTATGTTGCACCAGAGAGAAGTAAAGAGAGAGAAGCACATGACTCAAGGAGATAAAGCCCAAAGGCTTTATCTCGACATAGTGTTCTCATCTACAACTTTTTAAAAATCCAAATATGTGAGCAAGAGAGAAAAGATATTCTACCCAGCTAGTCTTCAGCCAAATAACTAAGGCTGTTTGAAACAGGCTTAAAATACCAGACGGATTACACAAACATCTTAAAAAAAAATCAATGTAATGCTTTTGTAGTAGTCCTCCCTTATCCATGGTTTTGCTTTCTGTAGTCTCAGTTAACTGTGGTCAACCATGGTCTGAAAACATTAAATGAAAAATTCCAGAAATAAACAATCTAAAAGTTTTAAGTGGCATGCCATTCTAAGTAGTGGGATGGAATCTTGCATCGTCCTGCTCTGTCCCACCCAGGATGTGAATTCTCCCCTTGCCCAATGTCTCCACACTGTCTGTGCTCCTCGCCTGTGAGTCACTTAGTAGCCTTCTCTATAGTCAGTTTGACTGTTAGGGTATTGCAGTGCCTGCATTCAAGTAACTTATTTTACTTAATGTTATTATTGTTGTTAATCTCTTACTGTACCTAATTTATAAATTAAACTTTATCATAGGTATGTATGTGTAGGAAACTATATATATAAGGTTCAGCACTGTCCACCATTTCAGGCATCCGCTGGGGGTCTTTGAATGTATACCCCTCAGATAAGTGGGGACTACTATATTTGAGAACACCCTAAACTAGTTAAGAACAAAAGGAACACTCTCCCCTGCCATCCATTGCTGGTATCCTGTGTGGATTTGATACCTCAGATTCAGCATCTACTGCAGCACGAAGTGCTTATGCACTTCCTGAATTATAGGAGAGTCGGATTCACCACCCTTCCCAGAAACAGAAGCATTCCAGAGGTTTCTTCATAGATCATGAAATGAAATGGCCGGTTCACTTTGATGACAGGAGGCATGGAATAAGCAGTAATTTCTGACAAGGTTCCTGCCACTGCCTCAGTGCCCCTTTCATCAACTTCAATCACTGTTCTTTGTAAAACCTGGAAAAGGAAATAGTGTGAAAAACCATTTGTGTGGCAGTGCAAAGGAGGAATTAAATGAGCCCCTTGAAATTCTTCACAGTGGTCCTACCCATGGGATCATGCTACTGGGGTTTAGTGGAGCAGGCCCATCTACATTAAGAGCAGTGGTCTGGGGTTTCTCCAGGGACTGCACAGGAGTCTCCAACAATACCAGAAGACCTCAGGAACCCAATGTGAAGTATTGTGGAATATGTGAAACACATTCCAGGCGTGGACTCAGGATGCACTCATGCATCAAATCTTTATTGAGCATGTGCTTTATACTACTAATTGTTGAGCTGAGCTGGTGCTCCTAAAAGGTTTTCAAGCTGCCTGGATCCCTTGAGTCTTCTGACTTTCCTTTTGGCAGGCAAGGTGGAGGCAGGGAATGGCTAGTCTTCCGTATCAGCGTCCCAGCACCTGGTACTACTCTGAGGCATTTTCTGGGCCAAGCCCAGGGGTCCCTGGAGCCTTCCTGAATTCTGGCTGCCTATATTGTGGCGGCTTGCTATGTTTGGGAGACCCTTTTTTACAGAAACAGGATGTGATATGAGTGATGTACCTATATAATTACTGTGTTATAATAGAGAATAAAAAAACACTGATTTTCACTCCAGGAAATTCCCTAATTTCCTAGAGGAAAATTAACTCCCCAGAGCAAACAGAGGGAGAATATTTAATGGTTTACAATTTAAATTTCATGATGACCCTTTGTAAATCAGCAGTGCATTTCAGTTTTTCATGTGTTCATAGCAGAAACACTTTCAGGTGCTGGTCTGCAGGGTTGTTTTATTTAATTGTCTTATCTCTCTTGAGGTGGTAAAACCTGATTCCAGGCCACGGTTACCCTACTGTGTCCTACTTAAGTGGATGCCATTTTTAGTCTCTCTTGGAATTGAAAATTGCAATTGTAAGAGAAAATATTAGCCAAACCACACAACTAAGGAAGAATGTAGAGAGATGTAGCTGCCATTTGGAAATGTGTGGGAGCATTTTTATAGTGATGACTGGAGTTTCCTACTGGCATTAGTGAACATGGGTCAGCAATGCTAACCAGTTCCCTGCAACATGCACAACTGCTCTGAACAACAAGCAGTTCCCCTCAAAACCAAGAACCTTTCCACTGAGAAACACTGAGTAACTGAAGGGATTCTATGTGGATGGTGACTAAATTTATTCTTAGTTTTAGAAATAGAACTAGGACCAAAAAGTATGAGGTAGAAGTTACAGGTCTCTCTCTCTCTCTCTCTCTATATCTCTCTATATATATATATATATATATGTATGTATGTATATATGTATATGTGTAGATATACACATATACATATATACACACATATATATAAACAATTTTAGCTATTGTGGATTAGGCAGCTTTTCAAAGAAATGGTGAGTTTGCTGTCACTGGAAGCATGAAGAGGAAGAGACAGAAGTTGGAGGGCTATTTCATAGGGCTATGGAGGGGATTTCCACAAGGAGGGAGAAGTTGGGCTAGATGATCTCTAGGGGTTTCTTTCATTGTAAAAGTGGTGTAATTTCATGAACTATTCAAGTTATATTCAACATAAATGATGCCGTATCTGTAAACCAGTTCTATTTCAGGGGCAAATTTCTCCTTGAGCACTTAAGCAGAAGGAGAGAGGTCTACTTAAAATAAATTAGTTGAAAAGGTATTTTAATAAAGTTGCTTGAAATTCTTAAAACATCCAACCTGGGTGCTATTTCAAGTATTTGGGATGTAAATATAATTTTCCACTACACTTAGGTATTTTATCAAAGTTAAATGGTTTGTAAAAACATTTGTTTTGGTGACATTTCATGCTGAGGTTGGGCTCTGATGAAAGATCCTGACTTACCCTGGATACTTGGAGATTTCTTCCAGTAGCTGAGAGTTCACTAAGGTCAGCCCAGGGTGAGAAGATTCTTCTGATTCCCATCTGCTTAAGCAGCTCATGCATCTCATACTTCTGATCTAGCTTGAACTTTGGAAAGAAAACTTCCATGTTTCTGTGGTACGAGAACAGATAATGGTGAAATGTAGACAAAGCCATAGTCTATGGACACCAAAAAGGTCACAATTTTTGTTCTTTAAGATTGTTTCCATTAATGAGTCTTTCAGTTGACTATGAAGTTCATGCCATTCTTTTACAATTTCCTATTTCAGGGAAAATATTTCTAGCTTATCAAATAGTACTTCAACTTCAGGGAACGAGTTTTATTCCTCAGCCAATGACTCACATTCTCTTTAGCAAAGTACTTATGTGTTCGTTTCCCTATGTTTTAAAAACAACCTGAGATAACAGCTGCTTTCAGCAATCCTGCAGACTCCTGGATGATGACTGTTTTCAGCTCCTGGATTCTGCAGACCCAAGGAGTCTGGGGATGGATGGGAAGGGGAACAAAGAAAACTTTAAACCTCTCCCCATCTTTAGCCAGAGAAACTCTGATACCATCTATTTTGTATGCTGGAGTCCTCCTTTGAAAATATGTTGCTTGGAAAGATGAGTTCTGTGGCTCCAAAAAAAAAATAATTGAGGACATGATGTATCTTGAAGATTAATTTATAAAATTATTCATTCAGCAAACATTTCTTGAGGGCTTATGATGTTTGGGGTTCTTTGTTAGGTGCTAAGATATGAAGAAAAATGAAAGAAGAATAATGAAGATAAAACTAACCCCAGGGACCTTTAGCTGGATTCGTCTCTGCCAAAATCTGAGTCACGGGATTCAGAAGCCATAGCCATGGAATTTATATTGCAGCCATTTTCATTGTACTCCAATAGGTGTATTAACTTACTGGGCAGACATTTGAGTGCCCACTCTGCTTTCTGTTCCTCTCCTCTCTATGTACAGACCCCAACCCTGTCATGCGTCTAGATTCTAGTTCTATGCTGATGACTGAATTTATATCTCTGGCCTGGACCTCACCCTAGACTCCAGATCCACCTGTCGTCTTGACATCTTAACTTGGATGTCTAATAGATATTTCTGATCTAAGTGTTTAAGACTGAACTTCTGCACTTACCCCAGAACTGTTCCTCCCCATTTCAGTAAATGGCAAATCTGTCCTTCCAGTTGCTAAGGCCAAAAACTTTGCAATCACCTTTGACACCTCTCTCACCCACATGCAGTCCGTTAGCAGATCCTGCCAACTCTCACTTCCTGATAGATCCAGAATCCAGCAACTTCTCATCACTTCCACTACCACTACCACCACCGCAGTCCAGGTAGGAGCATCTCTACCTGGATTGCTAGTAACCTTCTAACCAGTCTCCCTTGCTTCCATCCTTACCCCCTAGTATCTTTTATCAACACAGGAGCTTATGTGATCCTTTAAAAACAGAAGTCAAATCAGGTTGCTCCTCTACTCAGAACCATCCAGTGGCTTGCTGCCTCTCTCAGGAAAAGCCCAAGTCTTTTCTGGGGACTGTAAGGTGGGATCCTGGTGACTGGGCCCCTGGTTCCACTCTGATCTCATCTTCAACTGCTGAAGCTCCACTTGCCTCCTTGCTCTTCTTCAAACCCACCAGGTACACTCCCATTCCAGAACTTGTACGATTCTGCCTGTAACATAACATTTCTCTCCCCGAATATATCCACATGGTTTATCCTTCATCTTCAGATGTTTGCTTACTGTTACCTTCTTGGAGTGGCCTTCCCTAACCTCCATCTGCATCCTGATGATGCTCCCTGTTCCCTTCCCTGCATTATTACCTATTTTTAATTTGTTCTTTGTCTTCCTTCAATAGAATGAAAGCTCCATGAGGGCAGACTAATTTTTCCTGTTTTGTTTGCTGATGAATTCCTGGCATCATACTTTTATCACGGTAGCAGAACGTGAAATACTGGTGGACTCAATGAATGAATCAGCCAGGCACTCTGTGACAGATGTTGGGGATAGAGTGGAAAAAAAGACAAATGCTGCCCTGCCCTCAGGAAACTTATAGCTCACTGGAGGAGATGGGCATTAAACCACAGTGCATTCAACGAAATTCTGCTGAGTGTTTGCAAGTATGGAAAGGTAGAGTTTGTATAGGATGTGGGCAAGAGTTGTACCTGGTTTTCATGTTTCTGAGCCATGTCTCCACCAAGTCTGTGGTCAGGTAGTCTTCAAAAGCGAGGTGGTCACCCATTTTCTCCATGAGGACCACCAGCATGGTGGCATTTCCTTGGTAGGGCAGTTTGAGGACATGACAATGAAAATTCTTGTCAAAGGTGGAGGCAAACTTGCCTGCACCATACATCATGGGCACCTTAATGGTCTTGTACTTGTCTAGCTGGAAAGTGTCGGCTTCGGTGAAGACAGGGTCAAATGGGGTCAGCCATTTCCCTGAACAAGTGAGAGAAGAACTCATTGCAGAAATCCCCTCTTTGAAAAGCATTGTTCTTGCTCAAATAATAAAGAGGGAACCTTCTATCTCACTTCTCATTACAAGGCGTTCCCTAATTGGGTTTGCTTTTCCACAGCTCAGGCAGGCAAAATAAATTTCCCCAAAATAGCTTTTCCCTGGCCTCTAGCCCAGCTAACAAAATACAGCTCCACTTGCAGGCCCTATTGGGAATCGCACACGAAAGCAGGGAAATGTTTCCTAACAATCCCTGGCTTCCCTCATTGTCCTGGACCCGAACAAAATCCACAGTCTTTCCCTCATAGTTGGCTCCAGCTTAGAGAAAAGCCTTTTCCTGGCACCTCTGACTGTCACTTTGTCTCATTCACACCAGGCACAAGCACATGCAGAGTCCAAGGTGGCAGGAGTGACACTTCTCACTTACCCACTGTTTAATGTGGTTCTGAGAGAAGGCCCCACAATGCAGAGGCCACCAGCAGGCAGGTACATGACTCTCCACACAAATGTCTGCCCTGGGGGTGTGGCCTGGCTGGTTGTAAAGTGGCTTCCCCTGCCGGGGCTTTGCAAGTCTGGTGCCAGCTCTGTGAAAGTGGCAGCCAGCCCATATCTAGTACCCCATTAGGGAGGCAGGGCTGGACAGAACCTAGGATCAGGAGGTCAGGAGGTTCTTGTTTGGGTTTTGCCTCTGCCACTTATTGTGTGACCTTGATCAGGCTAACCTCTCTGAGCTGCTTTGATCTTTAGAAAGGAGACAACAACTCCTACTCTACCTGCTGATTGACAGTTAGGAAGAACAAGTAAACCATAGATACTCAGTGTCTGCTATGTGCCAAGTCCATCTGGGCACTTTACATTCATTGTCTCATTTAACCTCTAACTCTATAGTAGATGGAGTGTCGCTATTTCCTATAATAAGAATCTAAGGGCAGAGAGCTGGTCGAAAAAGTAAAAATGAAGGAGCAATGATTCACTTCTAAATCCCCCAGATAATCCCCCCACCTCCCTCTTTTTGGAATGACCCTGTGCTTCTAAACATCAGAGGGGAGCTGTGTAGAGTGCTTTGAAAATTATAAGGACTACAAGCACATAGGATGCCAGGGCAGGACCTCAAGTGACTGTTCAATATGTGTATCAACCTGTATTTGAAACCTGAAAACACATTCATAGAAAATCATTTAGCGTTAACCATATGCTGGCCTAACGGAAGGAAAGGGAGAGGCAGTTGTAAGACCCTGTGGCCTTGGGAGAGCAGAATATTATCAAAGTACCTTTGAACAAGATGTAATCCACAAGAATTAATTTGGTTTCAGGATAAATCTCGTCAAACAGTTTGGGAATTTTCCCCCGAGTCTCTTTGTTAATGTAATGATTCATGAGCCTTTTGGCCTGTGAGGCATTGTGAAAATTCATAAGCACACACTCTGTATCAAAATACCTCTTGGATAAATTGAGGAAGAGCTCTTTGACATCAAAATCCTTGTGGATGAAGGCAAAACTCCCCTGTGTGAGGCCCAGTTCCAAGTTGTGGGAGAGGGTCTCTCTGAGTCCCTTAAAGAGGGAGGGCAGGAGCCCGGGCTTGGTGGTGTTCAGGGACTGCAAGTGGAGCCCTGTCTTGATCTGGGCTTTGGTCAGCCCTGTGGCCCCCAGCATCAAGCCTGCCATGGCCAAGGAGACGCCAAATGGAGAGAAGACCATGTTGCCATCGTGCCTTATGGAGATCTTTCGCAGCAGGCTGAATCCGAAGTTTGAAGTCTCCTTGGCAAGCTGCTGCCCACTAGCTATCAGCCAGGCTTTCTCCTCCTCACTGGCCTTCTCGCTGGCCGCCTCCTCATCCTCCTCTTCCTCCCTGGGAGCCTGCACTACCCTGCTGGTCTGGTTCTGAGGGGCCGGGGCCTCTGGCGACTGAGGACTGGGGGCCAAGCCGGGTACCAACCACACCTGTGCCAGGAGGACAGAGAGCAGGAGGCTTGGCACCACCTTCATGTGGTCGGCTGCAGAGGCCAAGGAGTGCCTCCCTTCAGCTGCAAGACTTCCTGTGGAGAGAAGAGGATAGAGATGGTTTTAATGCCTCCTAAAGTGTCTTAGTGGATAGTAAAAGCTTCTTCAGGGACCCTGCCTCCTTCCTGTGGCTCAAGTAGGTTAGCCCTGTCCCAGGGAGACCTGAAGCAAGTGTGGGTGACATTTGCTCACCCAATGAGGGGACATTATTTCACAGAGCAAAACCTCCTCTAGTTCCCATTCCCTGCCCAGCTGTCAGGCAGCTCTCGGTCCTGACCCCTTTTTTATTCATCCCATCTCCTTCCTGAGGGCTAGGGCAAGAGACCTCGCTCTGGGAGCAGGAGGCAGCACAGAAGGTGGGGGTCTGAGCAGGTGGAATCAGGGGTCCTCACACACCTTTCCCTGATCTGCTTCGTTCATTGCCCTGACCCTCTGGCCATCAGGCTGCCCATCCAGATGGGTGGCTGGCCTTGCCCTGTGCCCTGTTTGGCTGGGGATTGGAGTGCCTGCATGCCTGTTAGGCAAGGAAGGGGGAAAGTATTGGAGCTTCCCTGGATTTTTGATCAAAATTCTCTTCGCACTGCACCTCTGCCACACAGTTCCTTGGAGGTCTTCCTTCCTTCCTATAGCTGCGGCTCCCAGGTAGCAGGAGGCCCCGCAATTCATACAACCCACTGCTGGGCTCCCTCCACTGTGGCCTCATAGAGCCCTCACAGCCACCTGGGCTGCCTGCCGGCTCTCACTGCCGCCGGCTGCACAGCGTGGGAGCCACACTTCCTCACCATTCGCTGTCCCCTTCTCTGTTGCCTTTTAGGCTCCCTCCACATCCTTAGACACAGAGCCTGGCTCCCGAACACTTGTATGATTTCCATCCAAATACATGGCTTGGGGCTGGGCTGGGCCACCTGGCTGTGTCCCAACTCAGTTCTGGTGCTGAGCCACACTGCAGGCCTGATCCCAGAGGCTGACTGAGCAGGACCCCCAGGACACCTGCCCTCCCTCATCCTCTCTCTGGGCCCACTGCCCTGGGAGGGTCTGCATGGGGTCGGCCACCCAGCCCAGTGAGCGCAGGGTGGATGCTGCGGGCCTCATGAGAGTTCCCATCCGCAGAGACCCTTATTCTTGACCAAGGTCACCTGCAGCAAAATGTGACAGGCGGGGAACTCCCAGGCGTCTTCTCCCTGATGCAGGGACTGAGTCCTTATCTATGCGTGGGACAAAACCGCCTCCAGCGCCACGGCCCAGCATGTTGCTCCTTGTTTAGGCTGAATGGCACCCCAGAATTCAGGGCCTCACTCTGCAGTCTGAACGGCACTCCCCTCTGCCTTAAAGAAGCAGTGACATACTTCCACTGTGTTTCCCAAAGGACACTGTTGAGGAAACTCTTTTTGACTCTAAATGGCAAGCCTGTGTTCAATAGGTCACTCAAGTATTGTAAATGTTGGGGAAATAGCTCTTTCAGTGTAAACGCAGCCCAGTTTCATGCTTTTATTGTTATGGATTGAATGTGTTCCCCCAGAATTCATAAGTTGAAGCCCTAACCCCCATTGTGATTGCAGTAGAGTTGATGCCCTTGGGAGGTGATTAGGTTTGGGATGAGGTCATGAGGGCAAGGCTCCTGTGATAGCAGTAGTGCTGTTATAAGAAGAAGAGAGACCAGACTTCCCCTATGCACCTCCTTGCCATGGCAGGACACGGTGAGAAGATGGCCATCTGCAAGCCAAGAAGACAGCCCTCCAGAATCCGGCCACACTGGCACCCTGACTCGGACTTTCAGCCTCCAAAACTGTGAAAAATCAATGGCTGTTGGAGCCACCCAGTCTGTGGTGTTTTGTTAGAGGAGCCTGAGCTAAGACGATTATGTGGCATCATTTAATGCTACTTTCTACATTAAGACCACACAGAATACTCCTGAATTCAAGGTTAGTTCTCCCTGTCACAGTGGTCGGGAAATTAGCCCAGCACGCCAACCAGATGTCACTGCTTCCAAATGCTGAGTCTTACCTTCCTGTTCTTGAAGCTTGTCCTACAGTCTGCAGAATGGTAGCCCAGTAATTCCTGGGCGCTCCTGAACAGGTATCCCCTAAGGTCTTTGTAAGGTCTTTGCTCATCTACCCAACCCTTCGAAGTCTAGGCCAGGAGTTCAGGGGGCGCTCCTGGACTAGGACACCATCCAGCATGGTGAGGACGCACCTTCCTAGACAGAGCTCGGGCAGTAAGGAACCACCAGCTCACCCGCCACTTCTCAGCCCTGGGAGAGCACACACCCCCTCCTCCCCTCAGCCCTGGGAAGGGGAGCCCTGCTTACTCCGGCAGTGAGTTGCGGTGGGTGAAATACCAAGCCTTTCAAGCCTCTTTCCCTTGGCCTCCTTCCTGCAGAGGATCCCCTTGTGTCTATAATTCACCTCTCACCCCACTCCAGCTCCTGGTCTGTATGTGCAGTCCCCATGGAGTGCAGGATTGAGGCCTTTGCACTGCTCAGCCACGCAGCCCTCACGTTGGAGCCCACCCAGAGATGATACCATCTCTCCTGGTCCCTCCCTGATTAGACTCGTTGAAGGTCTCCTGTAACCCACTACCTCTTACCAGTGTGTGGCCTTGGCTTCTGGAAATGTCCTTCATTCAGAGTAGAAACCAAAGCTTCAGCTTTGCAGCTCAGAACCTTCAGCAAATATTTGCTATTCCAAAGTATGATTGCCTATGGGACAGTTACTGATTAACATCCTGCTTGTGATGGTGGAGTTTTCGGAAAACCAAAGACCAAGTGGGAGGCTTCCCATACTCCCCAGCTCCTCCTGTAACCCAGAATACGACCCAAATCCCATCGCGAGAGCTTCTGCCTTGCAACGCAAGGCTTCGCCCCAGTAAGATTCAGCTCCTTCTGGGTGGCACGTTGGGGATTTCTCTTGAGCTGTTCTAGGTGCTGAACACCTCGAGAAAGAAGGCACTGGGGGATCCCGTGTATGCTTCCTGAGTCCCCAACCCAGTACTGGACACTGTGGGGATGTCGGTTGGGGGGCACAGCAGAGATGTTCAGGACCTGCTCCCTCAGCCCTCAAGTCAGTCCAGTGTGGGAAGCAGACAGGTAAATCACTACTTAGAGTACATAGCTCCTTTCAAGGTAAATTTCCTGCTTTGCAATGTTTCTGTACTTGAGACTGAATCCTTGGGTACTCAGAGTTGAGGCTGGTGGAGACCCTTTATGGGAAAACGTCTCAGACTTCGCAGACTCTCTTTTTAAAATATATAAATAAATATTTTGTTATGTGCCCCTTACTACTACCCTTGAAGTGAAATGTATAGCTAACATAACCTACCCCCAAAATTTAAAAAAACAATGCTGTAACGATAATGTGGAGGCATAATAAAAGAGAATAATGTGTCCCTGAATACGGCAGTGCTGTGGTCTAAGGGCCTGGGCAGGTGCAGTGGGGCCACCCAATATGGAGCCCGCAGGAGGCCGCATGTAAGATGCTCACTGCTGGCCAGTCAACACGACAACCAATGTTACTACCAGGGATAGAGTTTTCAAAATGGTAAATAATGCTTGGTAAAGTTTCAAACAAACAAAATACAGATCTTTCCCTGATTTACACGGTCATTGTCTTCACAGAAAATGCAGTGTGTAGTAAAACCTTGGATAAATATTGTATTTTTATACGAAACAAAGCAGCCCCAGGACTGAGATTCTAGGCTCAGATAATGCCACGTGAACTTGAGGTGGACATGTGAGTCCTGGGGGACTTGGCGGCCTCTTCATCGTGGGAGACTGCCCTGCGTGTTCTGGTATGTCTGGCATTGCTCACCCTCAATCCTTAAATGCTAGTAGTACTCCCCACAAACGTTTGTGAAGAGCAGTAGTATCCCAACAAGTTTCCAGGGTGTTCCTTTCGGGCAGTACCTGCTCTGTTGATAGGCAGTTCTTTAAGAGGTGAAAGTGAGGGTGTAGAGGGGCCAGGCTGGACCCACGCCATGCATATGAGCCAGCCTTGGCCTGCCCATCCAGGTCGAGCTCTGCAGCTGAGGGATTGTGGATTCGCAAAAAGCAGGGGCACTTCCTCCAGGCTTGGGAAGGTGTCTGCTTTGCTAAATGTCTGAGCGGAGCTAGCGAGTGTGCAGGTCTTAGGGCACAGGGCTTCTTTTATTTATTTATTTATTTATTTATTTATTTATTTATTTATTTATTTATTTTGAGATGGAGTCTTGCCCTGTCACCCAGTCTGGAATGCAATGGCATGATTTCGGCTCACTGTAACCTCCGCCTCCTGGGTTCAAACGATTCTCCTGCCCCAGCCTCCCGAGTAACTGGGATTACAGGTGCCCACCACTATGCCTAGCTAATTTTTGTATTTTTAGTAGAGACGAGGTTTCACCATGTTGGCCAGGCTGGTCATGAACTCCTGACCTTGTAATCCACCTGCCTCTGCCTCCCAAAGTGCTGGGATTACAGAGGCACGAGCCACCACGTCCGGCCAGGGCACAGGGTTTCAGAAATGGATCCTTACAAACGAAGGCAGCAGAGTATTCTGGAAAAATTGTGAGGACTTCAACCAGACCATTGCCTCCTGCCCTGGTGTGAATCTGAGGTCCTCCGCTCCCAATTCCTAGCTGCTAGGATGTAAGTTAACCTCACTGAACCGGCCTTTCTTCCTCTGTTAAATGGCCAGAACTCAGACTCTGTCCTATGAATATCTCAGCACCACCAAGGAACCAGGAAGTGCGTGGACAATCTTGCTCCTAAGGCTGTGAGCCCTGGACCCCAGGGTGTGGCTCAGAAGTCCCCCTGCTTCAGCGACGACATTATTCCTGTACACCTCCCAGCAAGGGAGCCAACCACTCTTTGACCTTTAGCCCTCCAGTTAGATGGGAAAGTGAGAAAACTCAGTGCATAGCACTGTAGCCTGAGCTCTTTCACCAGCATCATGACCCTGAGCAAGCTACCTAACCTCTCTTAGCCTCAGTTTCCCAATCTATAAAATGGGGCTCCCCAGGCTGAGCCGTTAGGACTTCTGGAAGGATGAACTGAAGTGGTGCTTGTGGAGTTTAGTACCTCGCCCGGTAGGAAGGAAGTGCTACAGGAATGGCATTTGTTGCATAATTTTAGAGCCAGATTGAACCTCAGAAGTAAGTAACCCTGTCTTCAGGCTTTGATTTTACAAAGGAAGATATTCAGGCCCCACCATGAATGCCTTTCCTGTTAGAGTTAAAGCAGGCTGTCTGACTTCTAGTTGTTATGAACTTTAGCTTCTCACACTCCTTGGCCAAAAACGATTGGGAAAGCTCTGATGGGAAGGCCTCTGGTGACCCAGATAAACTCACAGGTGATGTAGAACCTTTCCTGGAACTCCCCTCAGGCAGGAGGCACAGCTTCTGAAAGCCACTCTTCAGGGTGACATCGAGGGGCTTCTAAGGCAAATCTGTCCAGAGACCTACAGGGGTAAACATCTGAAAAACAAGTGTTAGGGCAGTCCTGTGAGACCAAAAGCAGACTCCAGGAAACAACGAGAGAACTGCAAGATTTTACTTTATGTGGATCCTATGAAGCGGGTGCTTAGGTAGGTGGGTAGGAAAGGAAACCAGTCTATGTTACCCCTTGATATGATCTGGCTGTGTCCCCACCCAAATCTCATCTTGAATGGTAGCTTCCATAGTTGCCACGTGTTGTGGGAGGGACCCAGTGGGAGATCATTGAATCGCAGAGGTGATTCCCCCATACTGTTCCCGTGGTAGTGAGTAAGTCTTATGAGATCTGATGGTTTTATAAGGGGAAACTCCTTTCGCTTGGCTCTCATTCTCCCTCTTGCCTACTGCCATGTAAGACCGTAAGACCTGCCTTTCACCTTCTGCCATGATTCTAAGTCCTCTCCAACCATGAGGAATGGTGAGTCCATTAAATCTCTCTTTCTTTATAAATTACCCAGTCTTGGGTATGTCTTTATTAGCAGTGTAAAAATGGACTAATATACCCTAAATATGCATTTCTGATATAAAAATTATTTTTGAACTGAAGGTAATTAAGCAGCAAATGGAGAAAAAGTTTTCTCTATCTTCCCCCCTTTCTTCCTAGACAGATAAAAATTCCCCTTTATTGGAGATGACTCCAGACTCTTATCAACCCAGAGATGGCATCAGAGGACTATGCAAACAAGGTTTCCTCCCATATGTTTACCTTCCGTGATTTCCTGCCCTTGGAAGTGTAAAACCACTTCCCTTGTCCCGTCCCATGATTTTCCTACTAATTTATTGCTCTTTATTAAAGATAAGTGGAGTTCTAAAGCACCATTTTGAGTTGCTTTTTATACAGGTTTCTCCTGTGTGAAGTGCATGGCCCATGTTATAAACTGATTTTTCTCTTGTCTGTCTTTTGTTACAGGAGTCCATCCCAACAAAGAACTAAGATGGGAAGAGGTCAAGTTTAGCCTTCCCCTACAGTAGTAGAGAGGTAGGAAAAAAAGGGCTTTCCAAGTCCTTGCAACATACACACGCACATGCACATGCACGCACAGGTGCAAATTTCTCGCTGATTTCCAGACATCCCTTCTGCCTCGAACTTTAAAGACATCTTCCCATTGTGTTATGGCTTATGTGAGTTATTCTTTTTAAACTTCTAATTTAGAAATAACTTTAAACTTACAAAAATTTGCAAAAATCATGTTTTTGCCACCTACCCTTCACTCAGCTTCCACAAATATGAACATATCATATGACTATAGTACATAACCACAGTGTATTAGTCCATTTTCATGCCGCTGATAAAGACATACCCAAGACTGGGAAGAAAAAGAGGTTTAAATGCACTTACACCTCCACATGACTGGGGAGGCCTCAGAATCATGGTGGGAGGCATGCTTACAAGGCACTGCTTACATGGTGGCGGCAAGAGAAAATGAGGAAGATGCAAAAGCAGAAACCCCCAATAAAGGCATCATATCTTGTGAGACTTATTCACTATCACAAGAACAGTATGGGGAACCACCCCCATGATTTAAATTATCTCCCACTGGGTCCCTCCCACAACATGTGGGAATTATGGAAGTACAATTCAAGATGAGATTTGGGTGGGGACACAGAATCAAACCATATCATTCCACCTCTGGCCCTGCCAAATCTCATGCCCTCACATTTCAAAACCAATCATGCCTTCTCAACAGTCCCCCAAAGTCTTAACTCATTTCAGCATTAACCCAAAAGTCCACAATCCGAAGTCTCACCTGAGATAAGGCAAGTCCCTTCTGCCTATGAGCCTGTAAAATCAAAAGCAAGCTAGTTACTGCCTAGATACAATGGGGATACAGGTATTGGGTAAATACAGCTCTTCCAAATGGGAGAAATTGGCCTAAACAAAGTGGTTACAGGGCCCCTGCAAGTCTGAAATCCAGCAGATCAGTCAAATTTTAAAGCTCAAAAATGATCTCCTTTGACTCCAGGTCTCACATCCAGGTCACACTGATGCAAAAGATAGGTTCCCTTAGTCTTGGGTGGCTCTGCCCCTGTGGCTTTGCAGGGCACAGCCTCCCTCCCCGCTGCTTTCACGGGCTGGCGTTGAGTGTCTGTGACTTCTCCAGATAAATGGTGCAAGCTGTTGGTGGATCTCCCATTCTGCGGTCTGGAGGACAGTGGCCCTCTTCTCACAGCTCCACTATGCAGTGCCCTCATAGAGATTCTGTGTTGAGGGGCTCCAACCCCACATTTTCCTTCTGCATTTCCCTAGCAGAGGTTCCCCATGAGCATCCCTCCCCTGTAGCAAACTTCTGTCTGGGTATCCAAGGGTTTCCACACATGTTCTGAAATTGAGGCAGACGTTCCCAAACCCTAATTCTTGATTTCTGTGCACAAGTTCTACCACATGGAAGCTGCCAAGGCTTGGGGCTTGCACCCTCTGAAGCCATGGCCTGACTCTACGTTGGTTTCTTTCAGCCCTGGCTGGAATGGCTAGAACACAGGGCACCAAGTCTCTAGGCTGCACACAGTACGGGGACCCTGAACCCAGCCTATGAAACCATTTTCTCCTAGACATCTGGGCCTGTGATGGGAGGGGCTGCTGTGAAGACTTCTGACATACCCTGGAGACATTTTCCCCATTGTCTTGGGGATTAACATTCTGCTCCTCATTACATATACAATTTTCTGCAGCCAGCATAAATTTCTCCTCAGAAAATGGGTTTTTCTTTTCTATCACATTATCAGGCTGCAAATTTCCCAAACTTTTATGCTCTGCTTCCCTTATAAAACTGAATGCCTTTAACAGCACCCAAGTCGCATCTTGAGTGTTTTGCTGTTTAGAAATTTCTTCTGTCAGATACCCTAAATCATCTCTTTCAAGTTCGAATTTCCAGAAATCTCTAGGGCAGGGGAAAAGTGCCACCAATCTCTTTGCTAAAACATAACAAGAGTCACCTTTGCTCCAGTTCCCAACAAATTCCTCATCTCCATCTGAGACCACCTCAGCCTGGACCTTATTGTCCATATCGCTTTCAGGCTTTTGGTCAAAGCCATTCAGCAAGTCTCTAGGAAGTTCCAAACTTTCCCACATTTTCCTGTCTTCTTCTGAGCCCTCCAAACTGTTCCAACCTTTGCCTGTTACCCAGTTCCAAAGTTGCTTCCACATTTTTGGGTATCTGTTCAGCAATGCTGCGCTCTACTGGTACCAATTTACTTCTTTAGTCTGTTTTCATGCTGCTGATAAAGACAAACCCAAGACTGGGAAGAAAAAGTGGTTTAATTGGACTTACAGTTCCACATGACTGGGGAGGCCTCAGAATCATGGTGGGAGGTGAAAGACGCTTCTTACATAGTGGTGGCAAGAGAAAACGAGGAAGATGCAAAAGTGGAAACCCCTGATAAATCCATCAGATCTCATGTGACTTATTCACTATCATGGGAACAGTATGGAGGAAACTGCCCCCGTGATTCAAATTATCTCTAACCAGGTTCCTCCCACAACGTGTGGGAATTATGGGAGTGCAATTTAAGATAAGATTTGGGTGGGGACACAGAGCTAAACCATATCACATAGTATAATGGTCAAAACCAGGAAATTACAGTGATTCTGTATATTGTCATTATTCAAACTTTTTTCAGTTGTCTTACTAGTATCCTTTTTTCTTGTACAGGGTCCAGTCCAGGAACCCATGTTGCATTGGGCTGTCACATTGCTTCATTCTCCTTGAGTCTGGCACAGCTTCTCAGGTGTTGTCTTTCTTGACCTATGACCTTTTGAAGAATACTGGCTAGATATTTTGTAGAATGTCTTTCAATTTGGAATTTTCTGATATTTTATCATGTCAACTTTAGGTTGTACATGCTGGGCACAAATATGGCAGAGGTAATATGCCTTTCTTTGTGTATCGTTTCAGCTGGCTGGCATAATTTCTGATGAGAAATCAATCCTTATTTTTATCTTTGTGCCTTGTATGTAATATATCCTTTTTTCTAGCTGCTTTTAAGATTTTTCTCTTTATCCTTAGTTTTAAGGAATTTGATTATTAAAATTGATTTTTAATTATTGATTATTAAAAGAGCACCTTGGCTGGTGTTCTTTCTCCTGCTTTGGGCTTGTTGAATTTCTTGGAACTGTAAATTTATAGTTTTCATCATGTTTAGAAAATAATTTAACCATTATTTCTTAAAATATTTTCCTGTCCCCAAACTGTCCCCTTCCTGGGATTCCAATTTCAGGTGGTAATGTAATGGTGAAGGCTTAGGTCATATGTAGTTTTATGTGCACTACTGCTGATTTTATAGCTTGTTGGGGTGATGTGTAAGAAATATTCATGCAGCTACCATTATCCTAGGGTCAATCAGAATTTTATGACTTATAGAAGAAATTAGCTATTTAAGGATGTGAATGGCAAGATTTTTGGTACTTTGTCATTTGCCTTTTATATTTGATTGTACTTTTAAAAATGTTTATGTAGTTGAATGTATCTATCTTTAGTCATTTCTGGATTTATAGCATTAAGTCTTTCTCACTATGAGATTATTTTTAAAACATTCATTATATCCTTCTTATTTTAGGATTTCAATTTATGTCTAAATCTTTGATCTATCAGGAATTGATCCTGGTGTAAGGATGACAGTGATTCTAATTTACACTGTTTTTCAGCTGGCTACCTGATTGTCCCCAACCAAGCATTTTAAATAAATGTTTTAACACAATTTGTTTGCCTCATTTATTTGAGATGCCACTTTTTTTTTTTTTTTTTTTTTTTTTTTTTTTTTTTTAGAGAACTCTCATTCTGGCACCCAGGCTGGAGTGCAGTGGCACGATCTCAGCTCATTTCAAGCTCTGCCTCCTGGGTTCAAGCAATTCTCATGCCTCAGCCTCCTGAGTAGCTGGGGCTACAGGCACGTGCCATCCTGCCTGGCTAATTTTTTGTATTTTTAGTAGAGACAGGGTTTCACCATGTTGGCCAGGCTGGTCTCGAACTCCTGACCTCAACTGATCCACCCACCTTGGCCTCCCAAAGTGCTGGGATTACAGGTGTGAGCCACTGTGCCTGGCCTGAAATGCCACTTTTGGTTTAAAAATGAAAATGGTTTAAAAGTGAACGATGTAAAAAGCATACTAAAAACAAAAACAAAAACAAAAAAACGAATAAGACAAATTCAATTACTCACCAAACAGAAACAGTGTTCCTGGTGCTGTAGGGGTTAGGATCATATTAGCTCAGTGTCAGGGCAACTACCATAAGATGGCCCAACCCCAGCCTCTACCTGGGGTTTTGCTTCAGTGCGTGTTGCTTTTGCAATAAGAAAGGAAAACCAATGAATGTTGGAACTGATTCTGTGTTACTCTGTTTTCACACTGCCATAAAGATACTACCTCAGACTGAGTAATTTATAAACAAAGGAGGTTTAATTGACTAATGGCTGGGGAGGCCTCAGGAAACTTACAGTCATGGTGGAAGGAGAAGCAGACACGTCTTACTGGCAGCAGGTGAGAGAGATAGTGTGTACAGGAGGAAATGCCAAACAATTATAAAACCATCAGATCTCATGAGAACTCTCTCACTATCATGAGAACAGCATGGGGGAAAGCACCCCCATGATCCAATCACCTCCCTCCCTGGACACGTGGGGATTACAGGCTTCCCCCTCCACATGTGAAGATTACAATTTGAGATGAAATTTGGGTGGGGACACAGAGCCAAACCATATCACACACATCTGCTAAGTCTCCTCCTGTCTTTCTGGAGCAAGACTCCGCTGTTCACCCACAACAGGTTTCCAGCGTCAGCTGCTCTGGTGGGAGCCCAGAAATGTCCAACACCCCCTCTGCCTCCAGGAAACCTTAAAGACAAGAAACCTTAAAAGACTTTCAGTATCTTACCTCTCATGGACCTGGCTGGGATTCTGTCTCTTTCCCACAAACCTTCCTGCACTGCCCTGACCCCTAACACTCGTGACAGATTAAAGATGCCACGTTCGTCTGCACTTGTCAGGGCTGTTAAATCAAGGTTAGCCTAATGTGACCTCCTTACACATTTTAAATTTGGCCTAAAGGTTTCTCAGTACATCATGAACTATAGCAAGTGGAGAGATAAACAGACCATAGCCTACACTTGTGCCAGTCACCAAGTTTTGGCTGATCAAATGTAACCAAATAAGACAAACACAAACCTATACCCAATCCAGCTGTTTCTGTTCCTCACTTCTGTTTTCTGTACATCATTTTCCTTTTTCTGTCCATAAATCTTCTTCCACCACGTGGCTGCCCTGGAGTCTCACAGCTGATGAGGCTGTCCGATTTGTGAATCATTCATTGCTCGTTTATACTTTAGATTTAGTTCAGCTGAGGTTTGTCTTGTATTAGGGAAGAGGGGAGGGTTTGTTGGCCAGAGGAGTTGCTCCTTCTGTGGCAGTACCAGGTGTTATGACCTGAATGTTTGTGTCTCCCCAAATTGATACATTAGAACCAAATCCCAAAGGTGATGGTGTTAGAGTTGGAGCTTCTGGGAGGTGATTAGGTCCTGGGTAAAACTCTCATGAATGGGATTAGGACCCTTATAAAAGAGGCCCCAGAGAGCTTTCTCTGCTCTTTCTGCCTTGTGAGGACACAGCCAGAAGGTGCCACCCCTGAACCCGGAACCGACCTTCCCCAAAACCCAACCAGGCTGGCTTCTGATCTCAGACTTCCAGCCTCCAGAACTATGAGAAATGCATTTCTGTTGTTCATAAACCTGTGGTGCTTTGTTATGGCAGCCCACACAGATGAAGACTCCAGGCCCGGGGCTTTGCAAACACCACTTTATCACAGTAACCTCCAGAAACCCCCTGTTCTTCCCTTTAACCACGCTCGTCATCAAAGTCGCAATGACATTTATTACAAGATGCCTAAAGGTAGACACAACTCTGGTTGGAGGGAGGAGAACTTGGAGGAGATTGGGGGAAACCTCCCACTCTCCAAAACATTTCCGTGGTGTCCCTGGTGCCCAAAGTCAGAGAGTGCTGAGGCTCTGGGTGGGCGGTCTCTTACGCTGGGTTCACAACCCTGGCCAAGAAAAGGCTGCTCCAGGTGAAGTGGTCGAAGACCATGATGATGAAGGGCTGGTTGAAACGCAGGATGATAGGCTTGGACGTCAGGTTTAGGCTGACCCCAGTGGAGCCAGCTGTGTCCACACCCTCCTCACTGAGTTGCAGCACAGCTTTGTGGACCACCTGTTAGGTACAGGACGAAGATGGGTGGTGAGACCTGCTGTGTGTTCTCGTTTTCCTGCCTCATTGCTGGGACCCTTCATGTCCTTGGTTTTAGGAAGGTGAATCCAGGCTCAGAGAAGGTCACTTGCTGGATTCTTATCCAAGTGGCAGCCCCAGGATGATACAGCCCAAGTCTGTCCACCTCCAGAACCCGGGCTGCACCTACACTTCCTATCAAACGAGCAGGTTGGGCCAATCACATGGAGATCAGAGGTCTCATGGCTTGAACTGGGCTTCACTGTCCATGTTGGGTGCTTCTTACTGCCCTGGGGTAGCAGAGGGAGATCTTGTTCCCTTTCCACTCTGCTGGGTAAATACTAGGGTTCGAGTTATGCAAAGTGCCTATGGCTGTTCTGTTTAGGAAAGCTGAAGCAGAATCTAAAAATGTAAATCTTTGACTGTTGGTATGTCCTTGTTGTGATCAAAATTAGGAGGAGTTCTAAAGTCAGCAAAACGTCTGCCTAGCTTGTATCAAAAGACTCTGGCGGCTCATAACCTGGCTAATTAAGTAACAGGTGACATTGGTAAGCTCACAACACCCTAAGGGGTGAACTCCCAGTAACTCTTTCCAGCAAGCACACTCAGGCTCTGGTGGCTCTGTGAGTGGCACCCAGACCTAGGAAGAAGCTGAGCTGGGATTGGAACTCCTGAAGTATGTCTTGAGCAGATGAGGTTTTGAGTCAACAGGCCTGAGATCAAACATCAACCTGTTATTTACTAGCTCTGTGACTTTGGGCAAGCTGCATACCCTCCCTGAGCAGGAGATTCCTCTTCTGAGAAATTGAGATAATACCCGCCTTCTGAGGAGGCAGCTGTGTTGACTCAATCCATTCACACAGCATGCATTTTACTGAGCACATATTATGTGCCAGGTACCACGGTGGCCACAAAGTCCTTGTGTCTTGAGGTCAGGAGCCACACATTTGAGTAATGGGGACACACACAGGGCCTACACAGTTTGGGACACATAGTAGGTATTCAGTAAAAATTTTCTGAATGCATGAATAACAGAACATAAAGCTGAAGCCTTTACATAATTGAATGGATGTGATTGGGCAGAAAGCACAATGTGATCCCAATTAGACATTTGCCACTTTTCCTGTTTCTTTTTGCCAGGGGTAACTCACAGTTCTGCCATGACAACTTGGTTTTCATAGTGCACCCTCTGTGGGGTCTGGTGGGATGGGTAGGTGCCTGGGCTATGGCCCTCCTGTGTCATAGCTTCCTGTGTGATCTTGAGGATGTCACGTTTTCTTGCTGAGCCTCCATTTACCTCATGGTGAGACAAGGGGCTTGGACTCGACCTGGAGTTCTCAGCCAGGGACCCAGAGGCTCATTCATGAATGAACTCAGGGCCACTTCCTAGTATTATATTTATATTGTGAATTTTGGAGGGGGGAAGAAAAGGTGGGCTTCCAAGACATTTACCTTTGATGACTTCAGTTGGGCATCCTGGGTGATGCCTGAGAAATTTGCCTGGTTGGTGAACAAGTCTGCAATGCCCATTTCCTCCAGCACATCTCCGAGGTCATAGACTCCAGAGATGGTGACCTTCGGAATGTACAGGTCCACCTGGCTGCTCGGGGTAAGCAGACAGAGTTAGACATTCCAGGGCTGGGCCTGGCAGAGGGGAGAGCAGCACCTCTTCTCCTGGACAGGCTCTTATTTCCTCGTGCTCTCCCTCCAGCTCCTGTCCCTGAGCCTGACTTGCTCTTTGTGGGTAGAAGGGACAGAGCAGGAGGCAGGATCTGTCTCTGCCTCCATGACACAGGCAGCTTTCCCGTGGGGTCTCTGAATTGCACGTTCTTTTCTTCTCTGTAGTTCCTTTGAGCTGATTCCACCTGGGATGCAGCTAGACCATGGAGCATTTAAGACAACAGTCCATAAAGAAGCATTTTTGGTCCCAGGAGAACCCCTGCTAGAAGCAGAGGACTGGAGGGAGTGCCCAGCTGGGAGCAGTGGTCCCTGGCTCCAGCTGTGCCACTAATGCTGTGTGACCTTAGCCAAGTCCAGCCCCTCTCTGTGCTAATGTCCTCACCCGCACACAAAGGTGTTGAACACAGGCTCTTCCAGGGCTGGTGGGTGCTAAAGCTCTGTGATTCTGCAAGAATCTGATTCAGCTGGCAGTTTCTACTGGATGAAGCAGGTGGGGTTTCTAGAAAGGTAAGTGGGGTCACGCTAGGGGTAGCACGGGCATCTATGCTTTTTAACATGTCAAGGCCTTAGTGTTATTTTTAAATTCTTCTTGTGCCTTCTGCCCAGAGGGAGAGCAGATGTCTGAAATACTGAAACCGAGGGGTGTCAGTGAACTCTCACTGGCTCTCTGGGCAGATGGGAGGGAAGGCACAAGACCCTTTCCTCACTGAGCAAAAGCAGCCCTGGGTGAGGCCTGGAGACTGGCAACCATCCCGTGTGAAGTGGAAGTCATCCTTTTCTGAAGGCGAGGGAGAAGAACCAGAGGCAAATGGGTGTGTACCTTCTCTAGGTGTGGAAATACTAACAGAAAGAAAGGAACGGAGACTAACTTATCCCAAACACCTGGTCTATGTTCTTTAATTTTTTTGTCTCCTCTTTCTCTCTCTCTCTCTCACACACACACACACACACCCACACACACCACACACACACGTGCACACACACATATACACACCTATGAAGTTGGAATCAACATCTTTAATTTCCAGGTTGAGAGATCAACACTTAGAGAGGCTGAAGAATTCCCCTAAAGTCACACAACTGGGAGGCAACAGAACTGAAAAGGCCAGGACTAGTTTTGCCACCTGCCACCTGCTGCGTTGTTGAAAGCTTTCTGAGAGCAAGGTAATGGGGCTTTAAGGTATGTATTATTGATTAATGTTGCTCACATTGAAGTATTTTCATGAAAAGATTATTTTTGGTGTAAAGAAAGATAGACAGTCCTTCCCATCATTTTCAATGGAGTATGATCTGGCATGCATTGTTTGCATCAAGGTGCGTTATCACTCCCTTGTGGTACTATGCCTAAATTACAGGTTTTCTTTCGGCAGAAAGGAGGAAGAGATGACAAATGGATCCCTAGCATTGCCCAGATACAGGTTTACACCCACGCATATACATGTGTACATACACACACACACTCAAGCGTAGGTATGGATGGTTTAAGAACTGTGTCCTCCACATAGCTATAGGGGATTGCACAGAAGCACAGGGCTGACCACATGACTTCCCTACAGGAGAGAAGTCAAATTCCCAGGCACTTCCATGTGCATTCACAGAACTGGATGATCTTCTCTAGAAGCACCCAACATCAAACAGCTCTCAGAGGGTATCATTCAAAATGAAAACAATCTGAAACCATAAATCACAAAACCTATGTATTAATAAAGTAGAGGAGCTTCCTCCTAGATTATCTACTGCAGAATTTTTAGATCACAAAATTTGTCCAAGCCAAATTTATCTCCTTCATTACTGCTGGCCTTCCATTGTTGGCACTCTGGACATGGTCCCCTGACTTGGTTGGTGCCATGCCCTCTTCATGCTGGGTCTGAAGGCCACTTCCCACTGGCTGAACTTCCACTCAGGCTCAAGGCAGTTTCAAGGGAAAACAACCTGCTCTGCAGCCCTTCCCCATCCCCTGGGCAGAGTCAGGCATTCCCACCTCCCAGCCAGTGCATGTTACACATCTCTCTCGGTCTCTCTCAGAACTCACACTGTTGAACTCACTTCGTTGTACCGCTATTAATTCCAACAGAATCTGTTTTCTGTTCTAGAGTGCATGTCTTTAAGGGCTCTATTTTGTCCTATTCACTACTCCGACCCTTGTGCTTAGCTAGTGCATGGTACATAGCAGGTGCTTCCGTTTATGTGCATTGAATGAATGAGTGAATGAAATGCACATTGAATGAATGAATGCATGAATGAATGAATGAGTGAATGAAATGCTGCCTGATCCACCAGCTTTCCTGAGCTACTCCAGATCTACATGCCCACTCCCTCCTCAGCACCCCCTCTGCTTTTGAGTCTGCATCAGCCCACCTGCCACCAGGTTTCATTCTGGTTGGCATTTTCTGACTCTTTTGCACAGACGGAACTTGAATCTCCCTGAGAGTGAGGACCATGTTCTAAAGAACACTTCCTTCCTCCTTCAAGGTGAGGAGCAGGGGCTGGGCACTCGCATGACAATAATTTCAATTGCTCTCTAGCTCAGGGGTACTTGGAGGGGAAAATCTCATTTGTTTGTCCATCCATCCATCCAACCATCCACCCATCCATCCATGCACTCATTCATCCATTTACTTATTAATTCGTTAACTCATTCTCCATTCACTGACTCACCATTCTATGCACTCACTCACTTATTCATTCATTAATTCACTCACTCATTCGTTCTTCCATCCATTCACTCACCTATCCATTCATTCATTGATTCATTGCTGACTCACATCCTCAGCTGACCTTGCCTGAGTGTCAATCCTGCACCAGCCCCTTGCTTGAGCCTGAGGTCAGAGATAGAGGGAATCCACTGGCTGCTTCTCCTCCTGATTACTGCCTCTTTAGGATATGCAGTCCTTGCTTTCTTTCTACTTACTTGCTTATTACCTACTTTAGCCTTGCTTTCTTAGTTGTTTACTGATTGATTGATTGAAGAGTTAGATGCCCTGAGTAGCTTAAGAACCATTCATATAGGTTTTGCATTGGCTCCATGATGAATACAGAGGTCATTTTCACTATATTCCTATGAGGTCTCCCAGGAATCTTTAGGCAGGGCCTGGTTTCAGGTAAGCAAGATGACAAAATGGGTAAGTGTGTAGCTGCGTGGTTGGCAAACTTAGTTTAAGAAAATGCTGCAAAAATATGACAATGCAGAGGGTGTGTATGAACCTCACAGGGAAAGGGGACCTCGCTTTGTGAAATGTCCCAAAGTATTTCAGTACTGATGGACAGATCAATAAATTAGTGTGAGCTCCACATCAGAGAACCTTACAGCCTTTGGAGGCCCAGCAGACAGGAACACAATGAGCCCCGGAGGCTGAGTCCAGGGAAGGAAGGATGCCCCGGCATACCCCCTTTTCACCCGCCCCACTTTCTGGGGACACGTGCATTGCAGAAATCAACACGATGGCTGGAGGGCTTACCTGTTGGTCAGGCCTGCGGACCACCTGTTAATCGTGTCCCGGCTCAATGCAGCGATGACCGTGTTCATCTTCCCCTTGTCTGGAAGGATGAAGAAGACAGTCCCATTGCCCGCATAGTTCAGCTGTACCAGCTGGCAGGGGAGCTCCGAGTCATGAAAGTAACTGATGGTGCTCGACTGGAACATCATGGGCACCTTCACCACAGTCGTCTCGTCCACATAGAAGTTCTCCCCGGTGCTTGCCAGGTCAAAGTGCTGTGTCCATGTGCCTAGGAAGAGGAGGAGACAGGTCTTTAGGGCAGAGGGGAAAACACAGTTCTGGGTCACCTCACGGGCCTGCTATCCAAGTGACACAGTGGCCTTCTGCATGCTTGGAATGTCCCCATTCAAGCCTCAAGGGTTTTTAGGTAAGATATAAAAATTCTCAGAAATTTAAAGCCTGTTTCATCCTCTACTTCTTGGAATGGGTTGAGGATGAGCTCTGTTTCTGAGATTAGCTTCTACACAAGGCAGTGGGGAGAGACCAAGAGGGTGCTGGTCCTTGGATTTGGGGGTAAAATTCGCTTAGCTCAGACTGTGCCTCGGCTCCCCATGCCTAGAGTGGGTCCCAGTTCTGAGGGCTCTGGAAGTGGTGCTGGACCTCAAGTCTCAAACTCAGAGTCCCTGGTGGGAAGGGAGGGGGCCATCTCCACCCCTGCCAACCTGGCCGGCCCAGCTGAGGCTCCTGACCCTGCTGAATGGTCCTTCCTTTAGGTCACATTGTCCTAATGAAGAGTCAGGGTGAGAAGACTCCTCCGGGGTCACAGACTCCCACCCCCCGCAGGCCCTCAGGTCCCCTCTACCATGTTCCAGGGTGCCACCATCCAGCTTGTTTTTTTTTATGCCTTGAGATGGGGAGCTCACTATCTTCACAGATGGGACTTGGCAGTACTGGTCAGCTCTGATGGGAAGAAAATTGCTCCTCAGACTGAGCCGAAGCTGGCCCGATTGTCCTTCTGAACTTATTCCAGACAACTGAGTCCATCTACCGGAAACTTACCTGGGCTGAGTGTCACAGGGTCTCTCTGCTGTAGGTGAAGTCTCCCCAGTCTTAAACTAATGACTGAGGCCCTTGAGTCCAGCAGGTCCCGGGTGTCCTGGCTGCCATTGACCACAAGCCCTAAAGCCCTTGCCAGGCCACCATTTCCCAGCTGAGGTTCCCTAAAGGTGGCCAGAACATCATTCCAAGTAGCCCCTTCTCCATACTACTGTCTGTGGGATCTGTGGATTGCTTGGCCAAAATTCTTGGTTCTGAGTCAGCCACAAACCTCTTGTAATAGCTACTGATGGAGACAACAGGGAGAGGCTGATGGATGTAGAGAAATCAGCCGTGGCTGTGGAGCCTAGAGACCCCAGAGCTATGCCGGTTCATTCTGAATGACCTCACTAACCTTGGTGTCTGCATACACTGACCAAAGGTAGTAAACTCACCATCCGTCTGTCTCACGGCAAATAAGATCATTTGAGGGTTCTCAAATCATCCTCCAAAGGAAGTCTAAAGTCCTCAGAACTAGAGGGCAGTTGTATTTTGTGGCTAACTTACAGCAAAAAAAAAAAAAAAAAAAAAAGTGGGTAAAATATTTTTCATTGTTAGGTTTTTTTTCATCCTTAACATTTTGCTGCTTGCTTTTTATGGAGTGTTTCTTTGCTAGAAGCAAGCATAATGTATATAGTTTGACGCAAAACAAAATACAAAATGGGGTTCAGCCTCTACTTTAAGGGATCTATTCTCAAAAAGTCCTAGGAGAATTGGTGGTAGAGAAAGAATTTATTGGGGAAAATCTGAGAAAGAAAAGATGGCTCCTCTGGAAAATCTTGTAACAATATTTTTAATGTTATTCAAAAAGAACTGTCAAGAAAGTCCAATAAATAAATCACACATCAGGACCATTTTACATATTCTACATTTAGTGACAATAGCTACACTAATCTTGATTTCTGTTTATTATTCTGGCTTGCTAGAAATATTTCAGAGTATTTTCCCAGCGGCTTTAACCAAAGACTTGCGGATTCGTTTTGCTGTGCCATAGAAAATCTGTGTACAATGAGGCATTTCACCCTCATCAATGTCTGGTCCTGCATTCAAGCGCTCAAAGTTTCTCTAATATTGTAACCTAAAGCTGTTGATCTCCTATCCGCTTAGCCCCACTGTGGTCCTGAGGACACTGTGAAACCTCGTGCAGAATGATGCCGCGCCAGCACCTGTTCCACCAGATGCCCACACGTGCTCAGGCCTCTCTTAGGCTCAGGAGGGCCCTCCCGGCACCTGGGTTTACCGTGCCTTTTCCCCAGGTTGTGTTGCCTGAACCTCTGTACAATCACTGCTGAGCTCCTTCCATGCACCAAACATTCCACAAGGGCACTGGGATCTCCCAAAGAGACAAAGACACCCTGCACAAGAGCGCACAGCCTCGTGGGGGAGATGGTCTATGGAATCTGTGGGAGCACACAGAAGAGGTTTTGGGCAAACGTTCCCAGCCTCCCTGGCCCTCCCACAGTCAGGTGTTAAGAAGGCTGTCTTTGCCTGGTCAGCCTCTCAGCCTCACCATCCTGCCAGGAGGGCAGGCTCTCCTGGGAGTTCCCAGCCTTGTGCTGGAGAGCAGGAAAGACCCAGAGGCAGGTGGAGAAGAAGGACTCGTACAGATGCTAAGTCAGTCCAGGCAGTAAGGAGGTGCGGGATGGCAGGGGAGGTGAGCGCAGTCTGATGGGAGGTCCTGAGAGAGAGCTGGGGAGGAGGAGAAGGGGGCATGAGGAGTCCTGGCTGGGGATCACACCTCCACTGATCTGATGATCTTGTCGAGAGGCACATGTTCAATAGGGATACTGGCTTAGTTTGCTTATTTTGGCTGTTTTACCTGCATTCCTTTGAATATGATTGCTTAACTGAAACTCAACCACTTAGGTGCTAAACAATGTGTTATGGCAAGATGATTGCCCATACGAGACATGGGCAAACTGTGGAGCATGCCTATGAGGACAAAGGTTTTCCTGGGTGAATCTGGGGAGGCTTCACAGAGGAGGTGACTTTTGAGCTAAGATTTGAAATGAGGGAAGATGTTTTAGGCAGTCAGGTAAGTTGCAAGAGGGCTCATGAGACAGAAGAGGCCTGGGCTTTGTGGTAGGCAGAACAACAGCCCTCCAAAATGTCCACATTCTAATCCCCAGAACTTGAGAATATGTTAGCTTTCATGTCCAGGGGGAATTAAAGTTGTAGATGGAATCACAATTGCTAATCTGCTGGCCTTGAGATGGGCAGGTTATCCTGGATCACCCAGGTGGGCCATTATCCAGTGTAATCCTGAGGGGTTCTTGTAAGTCAAAGAGGAAGGCAGGAAAGTCAGAATCAGAGACGTGATGATGGAAGCAGAGGTGGGAATGATGCAATTACTGGCTTTGAAACTAAGAGAGGCCCACAAGCCATGTGGCTTCTAGAAGCTGGAAAAGACCTGGAAGTGCATTCTCCGCTAGAACTTCCAGGTTTTTATGAACAGGAAGGTTGAAAAACTGAAGCAAGACCTGGTTAGAGCAGTGTGTGCAGGACAGCTTTGGGGGCATCTGGGAGTTCCCGAGGGGTGGGTGGGGTTCTGTCTGGTTCCAGGCCATTTTTCCAGTCCCTGGCCCAGTACTTGACAGTCAGCATTTGTGGAGCACGAAGCAGCCAGACTGTTCATGGTTACAGGTGTAGGCCTCAAGCCAGCCTGCCAGCATGTGGGCACACTGCCCAACCCTTCCAGGTGGCATTTTGATCTTTTGTAAAATAATATAATTCCACCTACCCAACAGGACTGTGGGGAAGATGGAGAGTCCCAGATGTATATGTGCTTTACAGAATCAAAGACTTTGCCCAAGAGTGTGCCCTGGATTTTAACGGCTATTATTATTCCTGGCCATAGTGGATAGGCCTTCAGACTGGGATGGGTGGGAATACCTTTGAAGAAGATATAGTTGACCAGGACGAGGATGGCTGGGCTATCCAGCCCTGACAACAAGTCGGCAATTTTCCCCTGTGTCTTACTCTTGACATAGCTGTTGATCCGTCTGCTGGCTGTTGCCCAGTCCCGGAAATTCATAGCCAAGACCTCTGACTCATAGTAGTGCTTGATGTCTGCTGAGAATGACTCCAGCAACTCCAGGCTGCCATCAAGAAACAAGGCATTGCCCATGGTCATTTCTAAACTGGTGTCTGACTTTGCAAAGAGTTGGTGGAGGTGCTGGAAACCCTGGTGGATCTCAGTCTCAGACCTCTCAGTGAGGTTGAAACCCAGGCCCTGGAGAAGCTGGGCCCGTGTGTGGCCACAGGTGCCCAGGGACAGCATAGCTAAGGCCATAGAGATGCTCACGGGGGAGATGAAAATGTTCTTCTTGGGACTCAAGGCCACTAGGTGCTTATACAGGCTGAGGGCAAAGTCAGCGTTGACTGCAGCCAGGCCCCGGTGATGGCTACTCATGTTCCTATAAGCAGCATTAGGATCCATGGCCTGGACGGTCCAGAGGCCACTGGTGGAGAGCCAGAGAAGACAGGTGTACAGGAGGATTGGCATTGTCCAGTATAGCCAGGCCCTGCCAAATCAGAAAAGCTTGTTAGATGATGTGGCAGTCTCTGAGTCAATGGGGCATAGTGCAACAGGGGGCAGGCAAAAGACCCCGTTCAAGCCCCTGTTCTTTCCTCCACACTGGCTGTGTGACCTGGGAGCACATCACAGAGGGCACTGGACTTCAGTTTCCTCATTTGGAGATATGAATAACACCCGTTATGATTTATCCGGTGCCTACCAGGTACTCAACAATGATCTAGGTAGTCTGGCTATATTCAGTCATCTAACCATGACCAAAACATTCCTAAAGTAAGTATTATTAACCCGATTTTAGGCAGGCAGAAATAGGTGCTCAGAAAGGTTAAAACCCACCCAACAGATATGTTCAAAATGCTCAAAGAAAAACAAAACACAATTAAAGCATTCCCAGAAAAACAAAAGCTGAGTAAGCTTTTTCCCACAATACCTGCCCTGTAAGAAATGAGAGGCATTTTATTTCAGATTGAAATGAAAGGACCCTGGACAGTAACTTTAAGCTGAATGAAGAAATCAAAGACCTCTGGTAAAGGTAGATGCATGGGCAATTATAAGTTACATTTTTGGCAGTAACTGGAAACAGGTGGGAACAGAGCTACAAGGAAGCAGAGCTTTTGTATGCTATTGAAGTGAAGCTGGTTATATCAAATATATTCTGGACTAAATGTATTATGAGCATACATATTGCATTTTGGTTTAATTTATTTTCTCTATTGTTTTTCTATTCTTGATTTTATTTATCTCTGCTCTAATCTTTATTATTTCCTTCCTTCTGCTATTTTTCAGTTTAGTTTGTTCTTTTTCTAGTTCCTAAATTATAAACAAAGACTAAACATTATTTTTACACGTTAGCCTTCTAAAATATGATACAAATATATGCTGTCTACAAGAGACTCATTTTAGATCCAAAAATGCAAATAGACTGACTGAAAGTGAAAGGACGGAAAATTTACCCCATGCAAATAGTAACCAAAAGAGAGCAGGGGTGGCTACACTAATATCAGACAAAATAGATTTTGAATTAAAAATGTTCCAAAAGACAAAGAAGGTGATGATATATTAATAAAGTTTTCAGTACAGCAAGAAGATACAACATTTTTGGTTCTTCGTTTCCTATATTACTGTCCTTTTTTGTATTTAGTTTTTGTACTGAAATGCTTTTTTGTGTTGAAACACTTTAATAATTCTATTCTCATCCCTTTGTGATTATTATGGGGATTACATTAACATCCTAAAGTTAACACCTGAATTTGAATATATGCCATTGTTTATTTGAGATCTTCTTGTTTTTTAAATGAGTTTACAGCCATACATTTCTATCATCACACTGCTTTCACTCATTCCATAAGTTTTGGTATGTTGTGTTTCCATTTTCATTTGTCTTTAAGTATTTTCTAATTCCCCTGGTGGTATCTTTTTTGATCCTCTGATTGATAAAGAGTGTGTTGTTTTTTCCACACTTTGTAAAATTTCCAGTTTTCCTTCTGTTAATGATTTCTAATTTCATCTCATTGTGATTGAAGAAGATACTTAGTATGATATCTGTCTTTTTAAATCTATTGGCTCTTGATCTGTGGCCTAACATAGGGTCTGTCCTGGAGAATGTCCCTTGTGCACTTGAGAAGAATGTGTATTCTGTTGTTGTAGGGTGTTTTGTATATGTCTGATACATCTAGTTTTTGCTGTGATGTTCAAGTTCTCTTTTTTCTTACTTATTTTATGTCTGGTTGTTCTATCCATTATTGAGAATGAGGTATTGAAGTGTCTAAATTGCTGTAGAACGATTTCACCCTCCATTGTGTCCATTTTTTGCTCAATTTATTTTGTCCCAGACACACTCAAAAATCATGTTTTACCAGCTGCTAAGGTCTGAATGTTTGTGTCCCCACAAATTCATATGTGGAAACCTATTCATGGGGGCTCTACCCTCATAAAAGGAATTAGTGCCTACATAAAAGAGGCCTGTGGTAGTATTTCTGGAAGAAATTGGCATATGAATCAGTAGATTGAGTAAAGACAGCCACCTTTACCAATATGGGTGGGTGGGCATTTTTAATCCGTTAAAGGCTGGATGGAACAAAGAGGTAGGGGAAGGGCAAATTCTCTTTTCTGTCCCTGAGCTGGACATCCATGTTTGCCTGCCCCTGAACACTGGGGCTCCTGGTTCTTGGACTTTTAACCTCTGGGACTTAAACCAGCAGCCTTACTAGGCCCTTTTCCTATTGTGGAGCTGCACCATTGGCTCCTCCGGTTGTCAGGCCTTCAGACTCAGACTGAATTACATGGCTGGCTTTCCTGGGTCTCCAGCTTGCAGATGGCAGATTGTGGGACTTCTCAGCTTCTGTAATTACTTAAGGCAATTCCCATAATGCCTCCTCTTACGTATATTTCTATATATCCTATAGATTCTGTTTCTCTGGAGAACCCTGACTAATATAATGGATTAAATTAATTTTGAGAGGCTATTAATAGGATTATACACCATACCCAATTTGGATTTATTTCTGTAATGCAAAAAACGTTTCAACATACAAAAATTGATCAGTCTAATATATCATATTAACAAAATAAAGGAAAAAATCACCTGATCATCTCAATTGCTGCAGAAAAAAGTATTTGACATAATTCAACACACCCTCACATGATAAAAACACACAACAGATTGATACAATCAAGTGTAAAGAGGTGCCTGGAGAACGTTCAATTGGCCCACGCACTGGGAGAATGGGGTGGAGCTGTGGGAAGTTTGTGCCCTTTGCAGCGGGGAGGAGCTTGGCTTCTCTCTCCTGATCCTGTGTGCTAATCTGGGGATTCCATCGGTGAGATGAGGGCCTGTTAACAGGACTCTCTCTCGCTTTGCTGAGTTAGTTTCCTTTTCACCCAATAAATTCCATTTTTTTAATCCTTCAAAGTGTCTGCGAGCCTAATCTTTCATGGCCATGTGACAAGGACCCCGTTTTTAGCTAGACTGAGTAGAAAGTCCTACAACAAAATTAGTAATAGAAGAAAACTACCTCAACATAATCAAGACTATATATTTATAAAACCTATTATACTCAGTAGTGAAAGGCTGAAAGCTTTTCCCTGAAGATCAGGAACAAAACAAGGATGCTTGCTCTCAGTACTTTTACCTAACATAGCACTGGAAGTTCTAGCCAGAGCAATTGGGCAAGAAACAAAAAAAGGTATCCATATTTGAAAGGAAGGAGTAAAATTATCTGTGTTCACAGATGACATGATTTTATACGTACAAGACCCTAAAAATTCTACAAAAAATTCTGTTAGAGCTAATAAACAAATTTAGCAAAGTTGCAAGATATACAATCAATCGCATTTCCCAACACTAACAAAGAAAACAATTTGAAAAGGAAATTAAGAAAACAATTCCATTTACAATAGTATGAAAAAGAACAAAATAGGGATTAATCGGGGAGGTAAGAGACTTATACACTGAAAACTACAGAACAGTGCTGAAGGCAGTTAAAGAGGACATAAATAAATGGAAAGACATCCTGCATTCGTGGATTGGAAGAAATTGCTAAGATGATAATACTATCCAAAGCAGTCTATAGATTCAATGCAATTTCTATCAAAATTCCAGTTCTGTATTTCACAGAAATAGAAAAATTCATCCTAAAATTTATATAAAAATCTCAGGGGACCCGGAGAGCCAAAACAATACTGAAAAAGAACAAAGTTGAACATCTTGCACTTTCTGATTTCACAATTTACTACAAAACTATAAAAATCAAAACAGTGTGGTACTGGTATAAAGACATACATATAGACCAATGGAATAGAATACAGAGCCCAGAAATAAGCCTTGCATATATAGTAAAATGAGTTTGACAAAGGTGCCAAACCATTCAATGGGGAAAAGACAGCCTTTTCCACAAGTGGTGCTGAAAAATTGGATATTTACATGCAAAAGAATGAAGATGGACCTTTACCTAACACCATATACAAAAATTAACTCAAAATAGATCAGTGATTTAAACATGAGTTAAAATTATAAAAATCTTAGGAAAAAACATAGGGGAAAAACTTCATGATATTGGCTTTGGCAATAATTTCTTGAATATCACACCAAAGCCATGGGCAACAAAAGAAAAAATAGACAAATTGGACTTCATCAAAATTGAAAACTTTGTTCATCAAAGGATACTGTCAATAAAGTAAAAATGCAACTCACAGAATGCGAAAACATTTGCAAATTTCATATCTGATAAGGAATTGATATCCAGGATATCTAAAGAACTCCTAAAACCCAAGAACAAAAACAAGAAAACAAATAAACCCAGTTAGAAATGGGCAAAGGACTTGAGTGGACATCTTTTCAGAGACAACACACAAATGGCCAATAAGCACGTAAAAAGATGCTCAGCATCACTATTCATTAGGAATATCAAAACCACAATGAGATACCACTTCATATCCATAGGGATGGCTACAATAAACAGACAAAAAAACCAGAAAACAATAAGTTGCCACACCAGGCATGATGGCCTGTGCCTGTAATCCCAGCTACTCCGAAAGCTGAGGTGAGAGGAATGCTTGAGGCCAGGAGTTTGAGACCAGCCTAGGCAACATAGCAACATTTTTTTTTCCGTTTCAAAAAAAAAAAATTTTTTTTTAAATTTAAATGTTAGCATGCATATGGGGAAATTGGAGCCCTTATTCTTTGCTGGTAAGAATATAAAGTGCTACAATGTGTGGAAAACAATATGGCAGTTCCTTAAAAATTAAACAAAATCATCATTTGACCCAACAATTTTGCTTTGAGTATATACACCAAAGAACTGCAAGCAGATAGTCAAGGAACTTGACTAGATAATTGTAGACCAAAGTCACAGCAGCATTATTCACCATAGCCAAAAGATGGAAACAACCCAAATGTCTATCAATGGATGAATGAATAAACAAAGGATGGTATAAACATACAATGGAATACTATTCAACTTTAAAAAGGAATGAAATTCTGACATTTCCTACAACATGGATGAACCTGGAAGACATTATGTTACGTGAAATGAGCCAGACACAAAAGGACAAATAGAGTCTAATTCTATACCTAGAGTAGTCAAATACATAGAAACAGAAGTAAAATTGTGGATACCAGGGGCTGGGGCAAGGGGAGATTAGGGAATTATTGTTGAGTGGGTATAGAATTTCAGTTTGGGATGATGAAAAAGTTCTGGACATGGAAGGTGGTGATGGAGGCACAACAACGTGAATGTACTTTTAATTCTACTGAACTGTACACTTGTCGTTAAAATGTTAGGTATTATATTTTCCCACAATACAAATTTAAGGAAAATATTAAATATAAATGATTTAAGAAGAGTTCCATAAATGGAATTGAAAAAATTCACCCAGCTTGCAGTGAGCTGAGATCGCACCACTGCACTCCAGCCTGGGTGACAGAGTAAGACTCTGTATAAAAAAAAAAAAAAAGAAAGAAAGAAAGAAACAAACAAACAAACAAACAAAAATCCATCCAAGGTTGGAATCAGTAAGTGGACATTGTCTGCCTGCAAGGTTAGTGGTTTCAGGCTCTGTGCTGTATGGAGCTGCCTGTATCACAATAAATACAGGAGGCTTACGGGAGAAGCAGGTCTCGCTGCACCACCCACTGTTGAACCAGTCGCTTTGGGTAAGGGGCTGGAAACCCTCATTTAAACAAGTGCTCCAGGAGGGTGTGGCATGTTAAATTAAATTAAATATGGGCTAAAGCTGCCTCCTCATGTAGCAAACTGTAACCTAGCTTAATATGTAAACAAACTGCAACCTAACCTGAGAGTATATTCTTTAACAAGTAACCAAGTTAACTTTTAACAAGTAACCAATCATAGCAGCTGAACTTTCAGTCAATCACAGTCTGCGAACTGCTCGGACATGTCCAAACAAGGCAAACACAGAGCTGTAATCTATCAGCCTATGTATATATGTCACTTCCTTCTTCTACCTGTAAATACTGCCTACGTTGCTTGGTGGCACTCTCCGAACCTTTACTGGTTTAGGGTGCTGTGTGATTCATGAATCGTTTCTTTGCTCAAATAAACTCTGCTACGTTTCATTTGTCTAAAGTTTTCTTTTACCAGGTGTGCTCTGAGCGTGGGAACCACTGTTCTGCTCTGGAATTCCCTAGAGGCCCCTTGCCTGGTGTGTTTCAAAAGCAGAATCTCAAGAAAAACAGTTGGGAGCGCCTCCCCTCCCAAAACCCTTAGTTCTCCTGAGTCTTCTTTCAACCCTCCTTGGGTGTCTCCCTTCTCTCTCCAGCGTGGAAGACAACCCCTGTTGGCGGCTCTAGTCCCTACTTCTCTGCTTTGATGATAGAGGCAGGTGTGACCTGCTTCCCACTCCCTGCGCCCAAATGTCGGGCTTTACTGAATTCTCCGCTGGGTTTCTGACTTGGATTTCTGGGTCCTTGGGACAATTCTTTCCTTTTCCTGAGTTTTGTGGCAGATCAAGCTGGACTGGGCTCCCAGCGCTGCTATGTACGAGTTAGGTGACGTAGGATGGGCTATTTAAACTCTGCCTCAGTTTCCTCAGTATAAAAAGAGCTGGTAATAATACCTCTAGCCTTACCCATTTTTCTGGTGTTTGTCTCTTCTCCAGTGCCTCTGCACAGCCTCCTCATCTCTCCCAGGACTCAGCAGTAACCCTACCTTGTCTCCCTGCCTTCTGTTTAACTCCCTCCAGCCCTTTTATCCATCTGCGGCTGCATCTTTCTAAATTCCTGAAAATTCAAGCTGGTCAGTTCTGCTTTGAAGTTTTCAGGGGCTCCCCATTGCCCACGATGAGGCTGATTTTCACTAACGTAGCCCAGGGAGTGTTTGTGACCCAGTCCCTGGTGACAGTTCTGCCTCCAGCCTCAAATCTGGCCCTTTGAGGTCTCAGCCACAGCAACACTGGGTGTCAGGGGTTCTGCCAGCACCCACCAGCCTTTTATCCCACTGTGGGTTAGGGCAGGCCGGGGCAGGTCACATCACTACACGGCAGGTTACAGCAAGACAGGTCACTGCTGTTCCCCAGGGGAGGTCATTTCGATTTTTCCATGTTTGCTGAGCCAGCTCTGGGCTGGGAGCAGGGAACAAAGATGGACCTGCCTCAGCCCTGCCCATGTGGCTCCAGTCTGTAGGTCCCTCGTCTCCCTGCCTCACCTGGCTCACTCCATCTTGTCCTTTGAGACTCAGGTCCCAGGTCACCGCCTCCAGGAAGCCTTGCATCTGTGCTTCTCTATGGCCTTGCCCCATGACAGGCAGTGAAATCTTTGCTTAGCTTTGGTCACTGCCATACCTGTCTGGGATCTCCTCTTGGGCACAGGCCCTGTGCAGCATGATGCCAATGGTAGGATGGGCTCCCATCCCTTTCCTGCCATCTCTGTGGAGATTGTATGCCTCACCTTCTCCTGCGTTAATTCTCTAAGATGAGGGTGAAAACTCCACCCACCTGACAATATCGTGAATACCAGACGAGGTTGTTATCAGTGCTTGGTTTATGTGACCTCATTTAACGGAGCATCGTGGGGCCCAATTTACAGATGAGAAAACTGAGATCCAGGGAGACAGAGTAACTCCCCCTGAGCTGGAATTCTAAACCTAGATGTCTGACTTCAGAACTTGTGCCATGCCATTCTGCCTGTCTCTACAGAAAGGAAAATGATGAGTAAAAAAGCTCTTAAGAGTATCCAGCCATGGCCGGGTGCGGTGGCTCATGCCTGTAATCTCAGCACTTTGGGAAGCTGAGGTGGGCGGATCACCTGAGGTCAGGAGTTTGAGACTAGCCTTGCTAACATGGTGAAACCCCGTTTCTACTAAAAACAAAAAATTAGCAGAGCGCGGTGGTCGGTGCCTGAAATTCCAGCTCCTCGGGAGGCTGAGGCAGAAGAATAGCTTGAACCTGGGAGGCAGAGGTTGCAGTGAGCTGAGATCGCGCCATTGCACTCCAGCTTGGGCAACAAGAGCGAAACTCTGTCAAAAAAAAAAGAGTACCCAGCCATATAAAAATGCAGAGTATCAATATTGTTCATGCATTTCATGTCAAGTGTGCCCTCTTTGTTCCTCATCTCTGAAGAGACTCACTTAGTAAATATTCACTGTGTTCTGTTTTCACAAATGCCCTAGGAGCCAGGGACAGTTCTTGACCTTCTGTATTGAAACCTCAGGACATGTGGTACAGTGCAGACAGTTCTGTTCTCCGTGCATTATCTCCGCCCCAGGTCACTGAGTGAGGAGCTGTGGTGGATAGATCTGCGTGACTCTGAAGAATACCTCTGCACTGGGCCAGCTGAGCCCTCCCTGGCCCCTACCCGTGGCCAACATCCTTCATCAGTGGTGCCGACTGAAGCAGATGCATCGTAGCTCGCAGGCTGCGACTCTGTGGCTGTTGTGGGTGTTGTGGCTGTCTGGCTGGGCTTAGAAGCATCAATCACGGCAATGGACGAGAATGGTTCTTAGTTACAGCCCTCTGTGTCAGGCCCCTGCATGGCAGGAGCCCAGGGGACATCAGAACCCCTGTGGATGACTCACAGACTCTGGGATCTGGAAAATCCTCCACAAGGTTGCCTCATAACAGTGCTGGCTGCCCTAATATTCAATGTACCGTTTAAAAAAAACAAAACATCTCAACAAACCAAACAAGCAAGCAAGCTGCAGCCCTGGCTTTGCTCTGGAGGCCGGGCAGGGGGAGGGATAGAGGGTTCTCAGTTGTTACTCACAGTCTGCGGTGGGCTCAGGCTGTTTCTGCTGGCTTGGTCCTGCGGTCCTGGACCCTAGCATATGTACAGTAAGCCTGCGGGGGATGCTGCCTGTTAAATTTTGTTTGCCAACTTCCCGAGTGGTTAATGGTTAGAGGGACCAGTGGCCTTCACCGCTTGGTAGTCCTCTCCCCCGAGCCATTAACCAATGGGAGGCTTCGTCAGGAAAGCTGAGTAAACACAGTAATGCTGCAAATTAACTTTGCTCTGCGTTCAATTCTATGAAGTTTTTTTATACCAAAATGTGGCTGGAGTTGCATCAATGTGGTTGCCCTGTGTCAGTTAGCAGACATGTCTTAGGTGCCCGTAATTAGCACCAAGGTGCAGATACTTGTAAAAAGAAAAACAGGTGTTTAACTCTAATTGGGGATGACTTGGGCAAGGTCCTGCATTCCAGGGGTCTTAGTGTGGTGGGAGAGACAGATATGGAATAATATCTGCCAAGCGCTTCCTCTGTATTATCTCACGAAATCTTCACAATGACTCTGTGAAGTGGGCAACGCTATCACTCCTCTTTAGATAGGAAACTGAGCTGCATGGAAGTTGAGTGAAGCGCCCTTGAGATTCAAATCCAAGACCATTCAACTCTAAAGTCTAGCACCTTTCCTCTTCCCCACATTTTATTTTTCATTAGTTTTCTTTGGATTACAGGTGACAGACATCAAATTGAACTGCTTTAAAGCAAAAAGGAATGAATGAGAGGTCCAACGGTGGAAAGAACTTGAGACATGGCTGGATCTAGGGAGTTCCAAATCAGGCATCAGATCTCTCCTTCTCTCTCTCTCTTTTTTTTTTTTTTTGATTCATTCCTAGCTCTGCTTTCTTCTTCTACTTTATTCTGTCTGCACTGGGGACAAAGGTGACCACTGTAGCTCTAGGTTATTTGGTTCTAACTGGTTAGTTGATATCAGAAGTAGAGAAATTCTCATTTTTCTCAACGTTCGTAACAGTCCCCCCAAAAGTCTACAGCATGGTTGCTCCCCTGTGGACTGATTGACCACAGTGTGGAGAAGGATGAGGCACTGTGAATGCCTCGCTAGAGTCCTTTGCTCTCCGTTGGGTTGACAGCATCATTGCTTCCATCCAGAGATGAGGGAAGCTCTTTCCAGGGGAAAAGAGGAAAGCAGGGCCTACAACTGGGTCTGCAGTTTTGGAGACACCTTAGTTTTGTTGATATTTATTGGTCTTTTCAAGTTTCCAATCCTATAAGCCAATTTTGAACTTTATATCTAGGAATTTACCTATTTCATCTAGATTTTCAAATTAAATACTACAGAGTTATTCATTAGGCCTCTCCATTATTATTTTTACATTATTATTCTATGTCAGTAATTCTTTTTTCTTTTTTTGTTCTATATTTTATTTATGTCTTTTCTCCCTTTGATAAGTCCTGTTACAGAGATCTAGCGAGCTAATTAATCTTTCCAAAGATCCACCTTCTAGTTTTGTTACTGTTTTTTTTTAAAAAATTGATATTTTGTTGATTTCTGTTTATATCTTTATTTTTTTAATCACCCCTTTAAATTCTCTGGGATTCGGTCTGTTGTACTTTTTTCTATTTTCTTGAGATAAATGTTTAGCTTTCTTACTTTTTAATATTTCCAGTCTCCGCATAAATGTATTTAAAGTTAAAAGTTTTCATCTAAATACTGATTGAGCTATGTCCCACAAATTTTTGATAATTACTATTTTCATTGCCTTTTTTTCCTAAGTATTTTAAAATTTCTTTTCTGGTTTCCTTTCAAACCCAGGTGTAGTTTAGTAATATATCACTGAGTTTATTTAGAATTTTAGGCTATTCTTTTGTTATTAACTTCCAATTTTATTTCACTGTGGTCAAAGAATATTGTCTATTATGATATTGAACATTTGGAATGTTTTGAGGTTTGTAATAACCATATATGGCCTTTTGTTTTTTTGAGATGGAGTCTTCCTCTGTCGCCCAGGCTGGAGTGCAGTGGCGCGATCTCGGCTCACTGCAACCTCTGCCTCCTGGGTTCAAGAGATTCGTCTGCCTCAGCCTCCAAGTAGGTGGGACTGTAGGCACGTGCCACCATGCCAGGCTACTTATTTTTATTTTTAGTAGAGACGGAGTTTCACTCTGTTAGCCAGGATGGTCTCCATCTCCTGACCTCGTGATCTGCCCACCTTGGCCTCCCAAAGTGCTGGGATTACAGGCATGAGCCACCGTGCCCAGCTCATATATGGCCTATTTTTATAAACATTTCATGTTTTCTTTAAAAAATAATGGATATTATCTGTTTGATACGTATATGTACATATTCATATATGTATATATGTAATAACTTGAGCTTATTTTATTTAAATCTTCATATGTATGTTGATTATTTACTTAAGCTTTCAGTTTCTCAGTGGGGAATGTTAAAATCACCAATAGCGGTTGTTCACTTATTTCTCTCTGTCAGTTGTTGCTTGATTCACTTCAAGACTGTATATTAAAGCATATATACTTTTGATAATTATATCCTCTTGTTGTATTTATTTTTCTTGTATCTTTTTCCATATAGCATACTTTTGTCCTAAATTTAATTTTATCCATTGTTATGATTGCTTTCCTTTCTTTTGGTTCACTCTTACCTGATACTTTTCATCCTTTTATTTCCAAACTCTCTGTGCCTTCTTTTTTGATGATATTTCTTTTCTGATGATATTTCTCTGAAGCTACGAAGATTTCTGAAGTTTTGTCTGACTTCTCGATACTTACAGTAAAGTGTGAGAGGATATAGATAAGCTTAACATTTTTGTTAAATATAAAAGAGCCGGGGCTTATTGGGTTAAAAATAATATAGTGTCTCCTTCTTAGTCTTTCCAAGATTATCCAATTAAGAAAGAATTTCAAAACAAACATATATCTAGAGTGTAACTGTAAAAGTCTTTATAAATACCTCAGAAAATTCTAAGGTGTTGCCTTAGCAGACCATTGGATCAGATATAAGGTCCTCTACGGCTAAGGATTTTAAGGTTAATGTTCCATACCAGGTTTATAAATAGACAAAAATATAGAAAAGCTTATCTTGGAAAGATTGGTGGTTGTGGCCTTTATTATAGTGGAGTGGATTATAAATTAATTCATATAAAATTCACAATTTTAAAAAATTAGATTAGCTTTGTCTCAAAGGGACAAGACAGTGCAAAATGATGAAAGGCCTTTGAACTTTCAACCTTCTACAGGCAGGGAACAGGATACAGAGGCTCAGCCTCAAACATGAGGTATTTTTATGGAAAAGGAAGCGTGACCCAGGCAGAATCAAGATCTCAAAAGACACAGCAAGGGGCCATGGTGAATTATTCCCAGGAGCAGACTGGGAGTGCCAATTGTGTTAAATTATGTGTGTCTCACCATTTTATATTGTGTGTGGAGAAGTGGGAGGAGAGAACTTGTCTCTTCCGTTCACAGGTCTTCAGATTGAGAGAAGCTACACACTTCAGGAAGGACATTTAAGGACCCTCCTCCGTGCCGTGACTGATTTAAATCAGGGTATCTGGATTTGAAGGGGGTGTTGCAGTTGGATGAGACTTTGGGAGTCACGGGGGAGGTGGGTGTATTTTCCATGTGTGAGGGAAAACGAAGTGTTGAGCCCATATGGTGGACTGCAGTGTTTTTTCTCCAACATGGCTGCCGTCCTTCCCTCTCTCCCTTTGTGAGCATGCTGCACCACCATCAAGAGACAGTCTATTCCTCCCTTCTTGTGAATCTTGGCTTGTCTTACTGGCTTTCTTGATGAATAGAATGTAGAAGTGATGTTCTGGAATTTTCAAGCCTAGTTCATAAGTAATCTCGCAGCTTCTGCCTTGGGCTCTTGGAGCCCTGAGTCACCTTGTAAGATGTACAAGTGCTCTGCTAGAGAGACTATGTGGAAAAACCCTAAGACAGTATGTGGAGAGATAAAGAACCAGCTGAGTCCTGCCTTCTAGCTATCCCCACCATTGTGCCACACCTGAGTGCAGCCGTCTTGGATCAGCCCAGCCCAGCCCAGCCACCTAGTGAATACTTCTGAGTGATCCCAGCTAATGCCGTGTGGAGCAGAAAAAATCACTCAGGCATGCCCTGCCTGAAATTCTAACCTAAAAACTGTGCGTAATAATAGAGTTGTTTTTGTTCTTTTCTTTGCTTATCTTTGTGGAGATGGCGTCTCACTATGTTGCCCAGGCAGGTCTTGAACTACTGGCCTCAAGTGATCCTCACATGTTGGCTTCCCAAAGTGCTGAGATTTATAGGTGTGAGCCACCTTGCTCAGCCAAGATTGTTCTTTTAATTCATTAAATTTTGGAAGAGTTATTATATAGCAACAGATAACTAAAAAGAAATGGCTGGGTCATATATTTAGCTTTAGTAGAGACTGTCAAACAATTTTCTAAAGCGATTGAACCAATTTATATTTCCAAACAATGGTGTATGAGAGGCACAATTGCTCCACATCCTTGCAAATCCTTGGCATTGTCCGTCTTTTTCATTTTATTCATTCTGGTGGGGTGTGTAATGGTTTCACATAATAGTTTTATATCGCATTTCTCTGATGACTAATGAAACTGATTACCTTTTTTTTTTTTTTGTCATTTGGATATCATCTGTTGAGAAGTAACTGTTTAACTTAGATTGAACAGAAGTGTCTGTTTCTGTCAAATTGTCTTTTCTTATCAATTGGTAAGTTTAACAATCATTTGCCAGATCGATATATTGCAATATAAGTTTGTGACTTACCTTTTCACTTAAGATTACTTCACAAAAGATTCTTAATGGAATCTTTTGATGAACATTGTTCATTATTTTAATGAGGTTCAAATAGCCTGTTTATTCTTTTACAGTTAATGCTGCTTATGTTCTGTTTGAGAAATCTTTGCTGACCCAAATGTTATGAAGCATTTTCTTATGTTTTCTTTGAAAAGCTTTATTGCTTTATTTTTCACTTTTAGGTTCGTTACACATCTGGATTTGATTTTTGTGTATGGTGTGAGGTAGAGGTCAAATTTATCTTATTTCATATATATGACACCATTTAGTGATGATGAGGATTGTGTTGCTTAAAAATGTCATGTCATAAAAGATAAAATGTGTTACCTCTCAGAG